CAGAAAGAGAACATCATCGCCCATCACCATGGCCACCAGGGGAAGAAAGCTTCCCCAGGGCCAGGACTCCTGGAAGCGGCTGCAGGTAATGCCACGCAGGCAGAATGACAAGCTCAAGGCAAAAGCAGCTCAAGGCACTGCCTCATCCAGTCAATCTGTCTGCACAGATCCCTCGGGGAGCGGCTGGAGATCAGCATCACCGAGCCCTGCTTTGGCAAGGGAAGGGTGGGAGCACCTCGGGTGTGCGAGGAGCGACTTCTCCCCAAGCACAGCATCACAAGGAAGGAAAGGGGCTGAGGGACCCCCATCCCCACACTAACTCAGCAGTGCAGCAGCCAGCCCCGCTCTGGGACCACACTGATCCCAACCTTCCAACCAGACAGTGAACCCTGCACAGGCTCAGGAAGGATCCTCCAGGACACACTGCCTCGGCTTTGTTTTCCCATGGAAGCCCCAACAGCCCTTCCACATCCCAGAAGCCCCAACACCGCCTCCCTTGCAAAACACCCTGGATGAGGGTGGCCAACACCAGCCTCTGCAGAAGCTCCAGTCCCTGCCTCGGCTGCACCCTCGGTGATGTGGTTTGTATCCCACCTCCTTAAATCACCGGACCCAGGCACTGCATCAGCACAGGATGTGCCAGAAGGATTGACTGCCCATCCCCAGAGATGACAGCAAGGAGGTGCCACTGCAAGTGCGTGCCCGAGGGCCTCAACATACAGGGATGGATGGTACCATCCATCGCTCATGGGCTGCCTCCACCCCACAGCCAGGGCATCTCCCCATCACAGCGTTACCTCCTTCTTCCGCCGCTTGATTTTGGCAGTTTTGCCATCCTTCAGCTTCTTGGGTTTCTTTTTCTTCTGCACGACTTGCTCTTCTGCAAAGAACTCCTCCAGTCCTTCCAGCACCCCATCGTCTTCTTCTGGGGACAAAAGGGACAGCTCACGCAGCTGGACCGCATGGGGACACCACCATCTTCCCACTGGGACAGCAGCTTCGGGCCACGACGTGGAGCTCCACGGCCTCTCCTGGAGACCCTCACACCAGGAGCTGACCCAGTGCTGGGCTTTTACCTTTCAGGTCTCCAAGCCCGTTAAGGGGGATGCAACAGGAGGTGAATGGAGCAGAGGAAGACCTCACATGGGAGGTGTGGCCATGGTCACACACTGCTCTGCTGTGGTTCCAGGCTCAGGGAGCACCATGGGCACCCGGCCAGGGCAGAGGTGCCGATTCCAACGTGTGCTCCCACCTTCCCACCACCTCCAACCCCAGTTTGCCCATTCCCGGCCACCCATGGCTGCCCGCAACGCCAACACCAATGCTTCTACTGGGTATTTCTACCCTTATACACGAGCAACACCCGCAGCTGCTCGCAGAGGCTCTGCTCCCTTCTTCAGCTCCAAACCATACCCCTGGGGCTCCAAAGGAAGCGGCTTTGGACCGGACCCGGCTCCACGGAGGACCCGCATCACGCCGGGGGGAAGCCGCAGCGGCCGGAGCCGCCCTGGCAGCGGAACCCGCCGCGACCACCGCCCGCTCGGGAGGCGCGGGGATCCCAGAGCTAAACCGGAGGGGGGAAGCGAAAGGACCGGACAAGCCCCCCCGCCGCCGACGCCTACCCGAGACATCGTCCTCGTTCTCCGCCTCCTCCGGCAGCTCCCGGCCGGGCGCCGGGCCCCGCATGGCGGGCGGCGGCACCGGCCCCGCGGCCCCTCCGCGCCAAGATGGCGGCGCCGCGCCACGCCCTCCCCGTGACGCACCTCCCCTGGCCACGCCCCCCCCGCACCACGCCCCTCCCGTCTCCGAAGAGCCCCGAACGGTGCCGAGTCAGCCCGAGGAGCCCTCAATGAGCCGCCGGTGCCGCCGCCGATCGCGGGCAGCGACATCGCTCCCCGCCGTTTATTGCAGGCAAGCTGTAACTGTACAAAAAGGGCCACAACGCGGCTCAATCCTCCTCCTCCTCCTCTTCCTCGTCCTGGTTGATCTGGAAATAGCGGAGCTCGTAGCTCTCCTTGCTGTTGGCCACCACGCGCAGCCAGTCACGGAGGTTGTTCTTCTTCAGGTACTTCTTGGTCAGGTATTTCAGGTACCTGCGGGGACAAGATGGCTGAACACCGCTGTGTGACCCCCACACCTCCACAGAGCAGCTGGTTTTGGGGGTGCTTCCCACCACCACTGCCTTCAGGAACACCAATCCCTTCTGCCATGGGCCTCCACTGGAGCAACGTGTCCCATCGGGCACAGCAAGGCTGCAGCCAGGAAACAACACAGGTAACCGTGCCTCTGCCATATAAGGCCTCAGCCCTCATAGGCTGTATCCACAGTGCCATACCCTGACCCCACCAGCTCCACAGGCCATGGCGAATCATGGCTGAGGGTTGCCAGGACCTGCCATGAGCAGCACCGACATGCAACAACGACAATGGGTGAAACATGGATGCTTACAGAGCTCCGGCTGCCTCACCGTGCCTACATGGATGTGGCAAAAACCACATTTGCCAAGGCCAACCAAAGGAATGGCAGTTATGAGAAGCTGATGGAGGGCCGGAGCCCAGCAAGGCCACTGACACAGGAGTGAAGAGCGAGGCTGCAGATCAACCTGAACCCCAAACTCACCTTTCCACTGCACCCCTGCCAGTCTCTTCCCCTCAAAGAGCAGTCACCAAACCAAGCGTCACGCAGCATTTAAAGAGGAGGCCTGGCATGACTCCTGCACCAAGACACCTCTTCCCTACAAGCCCCACTGCCAGCCAGGCTCCCCTCTCCACACTGGCAGCTGCAGGACACAGGGCAGCCCCATCGCCTCACCTCTTTGAGAAGGGAACCTCTGACGTGACCGTGATCTTGCTCTTGCTCCTCTCGATGGTCACGACGCCTCCGCCCAGGTTCCCTGCTTTGCCATTCACCTTGATCCTTTCCTGCAGGAACTGCTCCTGCAAGAGGCACACGCCACTGAGCCAGGGTCACCAGCTCCCACCGGACAAGGCCTCCCCTGCTGCCTCATGCCCGAGCTTTAGCGTTTCTTTAGAGCTGGGGAAGAGACCCATGTTATGCCCAGAGGAAGCAGAGGAAAGCTGCCTCCCCGCAGGCCAGAAAGCTGCGAGCCCATCAGTGCCCCCCACACCCAACCCAGCCAGCTCACTCAAACCATGAGCTTCTCCAGTCCGAATGCACAAGATGAGCAGGACAGGAACACATTTCCTGCCTTACAAGGGGAAAGCCAGCCAAGGAGCAGCTGGGCTCGGATCCTCCGAGGACACCTCAGCCACAGCTTGAATGAAATCAGGCTGAAACAGCCTCACCATTCCCCACAGTGTAACAGAGCACTGGCCCCACGACGGACGAGCAGCGCTGCGGTGCCGCAGGTAGGGAGAGCGCTGGCATTTTAACTACAGAATGTTTAAACACAACCATGAACCCACGGGCCCCCTGCTCTGAGGGTGCTTCCCAGGGGCACAGGCTTTTACGCTGCACCATGGCAAGGCGCAGAAGCAGCGCTGGGGGGGCCGCGCTGGCAGCACACTGATGGGAACGGAGCCCCACACTCACAAAGTTGGCAGCGTCCATGATGCCGTCCTCCACCGGGTGGGTGCAGTCCAGTGTGAACTTCAGCACCTGCTTCTTTTTTTTGCCACCTTTCGCTGCGGGCTTCTTCTGCAGCAGAGGAGAGAGCCGTGAGGGATGGGAGAAGGCAATGAGGAACAGAGAGAGGAAAGGGCCGAGGACAATGAGAACAGGCAGGGGGCCAGGCCAGGGGCCACAAGCCCAGGCCAGGGGAAACAGGAACGGGCTGGGGTCCAGGCTGGGGGCAACGAGAATGGGCCGAGGGCCGGGGGCCAAACTGGGGGCAACGGGATCAGGCCGAGCTGCGGGTTGGTAGCAACGGGGCCGAGCTAGAAGCCAGGTTGGGGACAACGGGAATGGGCCGAGGGGAACGGAAATGGGCCAGGAGACCGGGCAGGAGCAACGGGAACGGGCCGAGCTCCGGGCTGGCGGCAGCGGGCCCGGGCCATGGCGGAGCGGGGAGAAAGGAGGGCCCCGCGGCCGCACGCCGGAGCTCGGAGGGATGGGCCCGGCGGAGGCCTAGGCCCAGCTCCACGCGCTGCCCCGTGGCCGGGCGGCGCGGAGCCGGTGGGGACGGCCCGGAGCAGGAGGGGCGGCGGCGGGGAGCGGGGGCTCGGCGGGCCCGGCGCGGGGGTGCCGGGGCAGGGGGCGGCCCGGGCCCGCGGCCGCAGACACTCACCACAGGCGCCATGGCGGCTGCAGCGCAGGGGCAGAAAGGGAGCGCCGCGCCGCGCGCACGCGCGGAAACACCCGCGGGCGCGCAAAGCGCATGCGCCGGCAGCCGGGCCGCGCGCCGAGCCCCCCAGCCGCGCGCTGAGAGCGTCGATGGCGCTTCCGGCCCATCCCACGCGCGCCGCTCGACTGCTCCGCGCAGCAGCTAGTGCTGCCTGAGCGGGGGGGGTGGGGTCTGGGCGGGGGCATGGGGCGGGGCTTACAGGAAGGAGCGTGTCTCCTGGGGTGCGTCACTTGTGGGGGGCGTGGCTTGTGGATATGGGGTGGGGCTTGGGGAATGGCGCGCCTTCGGCAGAGGGGTCGCGGGGCTCAGCCCGGCGGGGTCCGATCCCCACCGGAGCATGGGGTGCACCGGGGGGTCCTCACCAGCCCGCGGGGACCAGAGCCCTGAGCCCCGGGCACTGCCCATGGGAGCACCCCAGGGCGCTGTGCTGCTGGTGGGGTGCCCCAGTGCTCGTGGGGCGCACGTGTAACAGCTCCCCAAACACCACCCAACGGGTGCTGCCCACCCCAGAGTGCACCGTCCCCGCTTGGAGTCCCCACCAGGCCGCGTGGGTGCCCGTGTCACCATAGGTGCCCATGTCCCCCCAGCCCTGGTCCCACACAGGCCCGTGTCCCTCACCCCTGCGCCCCGCTCACAGTCCCTGCCGCAGGCACCGAGGAGCACACAGGGGCTATTTTTGGGCCGTGGCGCGGTGGCGGTGCCAGGGGCCCCACGTCACGGGGACAGCGAGGCCCTGCTGCCCCGGCAGCGCTCTCATTCCAGCCGGAGCACGGGCAGCAGCAGCACGGCCGATCCCCCGGCTGCAGACAGGGAGAGGTAAAGCCTTTGCCCAGCCACGGTGCCCCAGTGCTGGGACAGGGACTCCCCAGTGTGTGGGGCTGGGCTATGAGGGCGGGGGATGCCCCATTGCAGGGGATGCTCCCTCCTGGGGGCACCCCTCTGCTACCCTAGGGTATGCTCTGCTGCAGGGGACACCCCATGCCTGGGGATGCTTCTGCTATGGAGACACCCTATCCTAGGGAACACCCATCCCAGGGGATGCTCTTCCCCTAGGGTCACCCACACTGGGGGACACCCCATCCCAGGGGATGCTCCTGACATGGGGACACCCATGCTGGGGTCACCCCACTGCACGGACCACCTCACCCATGGTGCTGGGGCAAGGGGTGCGTTCGGGGCAGCCTCGTGCCATGCAGCTCATAACCTAAAAATAGGCACCAGCTCACAGGCCCTGCAGGGAAGGATTTGCCTTTGCCGCGGTGCCGTGTGGGGCTCAGGGGGTGACACGGGGCCCTCCCTCTGCCCCACAGATGTCCGGAGGCATTTTCTCCCCATTGGGGAGCTGCTCGGAGCTGGAGAAGGCCAATTGCCACCCACTGGTCTGCCTGCTCTGCCACGAGCCCTACCAGCACCCCTGCCTGCTCGACTGCTACCACAACTTCTGTGCCAGCTGCCTGCGGGGCCGCGCCAGCGACGGCCGCCTGCGCTGCCCCCTCTGCGGGTACGGGATGGACCCTGCCATGGGGGGACACCGGGACCCCCATCACCACCCCTGCCCTGCAATCCCAATCCCCACCCCACAGGCACCCCTCGGTGGTGAGGGGGGGCACGGGGCTGCCCCCCGTGGACCGGCTCCTGCAGTTCCTGGTGGACAGCTCAGCCGACGGCGAGGAGGATGTGCAATGTGCCAACTGCGACCGGCGCTGCGCCAAGGCGGTGAGGGCAGCGGGGCGGGCATGGCGGGCAGGGGACCGCGATGGGGCCGCGCGTGCCAGCAGCATCCCCCCCCCCAGGAGCTGGACACCATGTACTTCTGCAACACGTGCGGGCAGCCCCTGTGCGCGCCGTGCCGCGAGGAGACGCACCGTGCCAAGATGTTCGCTCGCCACGAGATCGTCTCCCTCTCCAAGCGCACCAAAGACATCCACAAGAAGTGCCGTGAGTGCCACACCATGCTGTGCCGCGCTGCACCGTGCCGTGCCAGCCTGCCCTGTGCTGCACCGTGCTGTGCCAGCCTGCCCTGTGCTGCACCGTGCCGTGCCAGCCTGCCCTGTGCTGCACCGTGCTGTGCCAGCCTGCCCAACGGCCCCATCCCTTGCAGCACTGCACGAGGAGCCCTACATCATGTTCTCCACCGAGAAGAAGTCCATGCTCTGCATCAACTGCTTCAGGGACATGCAAGGGTGAGCAGCCCCGGCCCCATGCCCACCCTTGTGCCCCATCCTGGTCCATATCCTGACCGCTGTGCCCGCAGGGAGAGCCGAGCGCACTGCATCGACATCGAGACGGCGTACATGCAGGGCTGCCAGCGCCTGGACCAGGCGGTGATGGTGGGCACTGCCAGCAGGTCTGGGGGGTGCAGCAGGGGGCACGGTGCTGCTGCAGTGCCACAGACACCCCATTGCCCCCCGCCAGGCTGTGAAGGAGCTGCAGACCTCCACGCGTGAGGCCATCGTGCTCCTCAAGGCCATGATCGAGGAGGTGCGCAACAGCGCCAGCGAGGAGGAGGCAGCCATCAACTCCCTCTTCGGCCGCATGCAGGTGCGGGGCCGTGCACCCATGGGTGCCCAATGCACATGGGCATGGTGTGGTGTCCGTGGGACATGGGGTGTCCGTGGGACATGGGGTGTCCGTGGAACATGGGGTGTCCATGGGACATGGGGTGTCCGTGGGACGTGGGGTGTCTGTGGGACGTGGGGTATCCGTGGGACGTTGGGTGTCCATGGGACATGGGGTGTCCGTGGGACATGGGGTGTCCGTGGGACGTGGGGTGTCCGTGGGACATGGGGTGTCCGTGGGACATGGGGTGTCCGTGCTGTTTGCAGGAGCAGCTCTCCGAGAGGAAGAAGGCGCTCCTGAAAGCTGTGCAGAGGTGAGGGGCCATGGGCTGAGCATCCTCCTAGGGGTGTCCCTCACCCCCAGCCTGTGTTGGGGTGCCCTTGGGCCGGATGCTCCCTGGTCCCCCATAAAGGCTCCTGCTCTGCTGCAGCCAGCACGAGGAGAAGGAGAAGGCGTTCAAGGAGCAGCTCGCCCACCTCGCCTCGCTGCTGCCCACCCTGCAGGTAGGGCCCTGGGGTGGGCAGGGAGGCCCCTGCCCCATGGATCACTGCGATCACACCCCCCTTTGCACAGGTCCATCTGGTGACCTGCTCCGCGTTCCTGAGCTCCGCCAACAAAGCCGAGTTCCTGGACCTGGGCTATGTGAGTGGTGGCATCGCCATGGGGCGGGCAGAGCACCCTATGGCAGCACCGGGCTCACCACACCGCTGCCTTCCAGCAACTGATGGAGAGGCTGCAGAGGATCGTGAAGCTGCCGCATCGCCTGCGGCCGGCGCAGACCAGCAAGGTAGAGCCCTGCCACGGCCGAGGCCTGCCCATGGGCACCGCAGCCACGCTCACCCCATCTCACCCCCAGATCAACAGCGAGTACCGCGCGGAGTTCGCCCGCTGCCTGGAGCCGCTGCTCATGCTCAGCCCTCGCCGCTCCGTGGTGGGCAGCGCCAGCGGCATCGGCCCCGGCATCACCGGCACCAACATGTGAGGCGCTGGGAGCGCATCCTGCGGCGCGCCCCCCGTGCCCTTGAGCCGCTGAGCTGGGTGCGATGGGGACACCGCGGCTGCGCTGATGAACGGCAGGCGCGGGGGCTTCAAGTGACACTTCTGGGAAGCGGGGGACGGGCAGGGGGGCCCCGGAGCTGCTCCCGCAGCCTCTGTGCCCGCCACTATTTTTAATCAGAATTCCAGGGAAGCGCCCGCCCGTTCCTGGCCCGGGATATATTTAGGCCCGTTGATGTCACGGCAGCACCGGCGCTGCCAGACACAACCGGCCCGAGGGGACAAACAGGCGCTGGCACCCCATGGGGACCACTCCTTGCCCCCGGCCGGGCTCGGTGCTGTGGGGTGGCTGAGCTCCTGGGGGCTGCACGGTAGGAGCGGTGGTGTGGGGCAGCAGGGATGGGGCGGTGAGAGCATGGGGAGGCTGTGGAATGGGGGGAGAGAGGGGCCAGGAGGTACCCACGATGACAGAGCAAGCGGCATCCTTCCCTTTAGAAACCAGAGCGTGCCGAGCTCTGCTGCCTTCTGGTCCCGAAGCCATGGGCACTGGGAGAGCAGCCCATGGAAAGCTGACTTTAGGGTGGTATAAGGCGACCCTGTGTGCTCAGGGAAGGGTGTATGGGGCTGCTGTGTCCCCAGGCACACTGGGGGCCAGGGGCTATGGGCTGAGCCGGTGACAGCCCCCAGCACCTTGCCCTGGCTGCTGCTCTCATGCAGCACCGCACTGGCACCCTCTCCATGCAGGCTCCCCGGCGGCCAATGCTCCAAGACCCTTATGGTGCCCAGCTGCCCCCCCGACGGCGACAAGATGTCCACGGGCCCCCTGGTGCGGAAGCCGACGATGCACCGGTACATCAGCACCAAGGTCCTGCTGGCCGAGGGGCGCGAGACCCCCTTCGCCGAGCACTGCCGCAACTACGAGAACACCTACCGGGTAGGGAGCGCGGGGCGGGCGCGGCGCAGCGGGGTGGGACGGTGCCGGTGATGCTGGGGTGATGCCGGCCCCGCAGATGCTGCAGACAGAGATCCAGGGCCTGAAGGACCAGGTTCAGGAGCTGCACCGCGACCTCACCAAGCACCACTCGCTCATCAAGACGGAGATCATGAGCGAGATCCTGCAGAAGTCGCTGCAGATGGACGTGCAGATCGCTGCTCACTACTCGGCCGTGGAGATGATGCGCAGCGTCTTCGAGGAGGTGCGGCCGGCGCATCCCGGAGCAGGGTCCCTCTGGGCTGTACCACGGTGTTCTGTAACCCTCTGCCTTCCAGGTGTGGGAGGAGACGTACCAACGGGTGGCCAACGAGCAGGAGATCTATGAAGGTACCAGTGATGCTGCCCCCCCTTGCCCTCTCCGGGCTGGGGCCGTGGCCACAGCAGCTCCTCTCGCCCCAGCCCAGCTCCATGACCTGCTGCAGCTGCGGCAGGAGAACAACTGCCTGACCACCATCACCAAGCAGATCGCACCCTACGTCCGCTCCATCGCCAAGGTGAAGGAGCGGCTGGAGCCCAGGTGAGGGGCACAGGGGGGGATTGTGGGGCTGGGGGGGGCACACACACACATGGCTCACCCCCATCCCGATGCAGGCTGCAGGAGCCCCGGGAGCCCAAGGAGGAAACAGCACAGATGCTGCTCAAGATGTGCGAGGACAGCGAAGCAGCACCCAGGTGGGTGACCGGAAGCGCTCGGGTGTTGAATCCCCCCCATCCCTTTCCCAGCCAGACCCTGCCGAGGCGCCTTCCCCTCCGCAGGGACCCCTCGCCCGGCGGCAGGGAGGGGGCTCCAGCCAGCACCGAGGGGGGCTCCCCGAGAAGCAAAGATTGCCACAGGGGCCAGCAGGAAAGCAGGGCTGAGAGCGGCACCCGGACAGAGCCCGCGCCATAGAGCCCAGCACTGGGTGCATGGAGCTGCTTTGTGCCATGAGCAAGGGAAGCGTCTGCAGCGCACCAGGAGCCTGCCCTGGGGAGGCGGTGTTGGTCTGAAGACATCAATGTCCTGATGCTGTCCCTCTTGCGTGTTACAAGGGAAATAAAAGGGCACAAAGCGCAGGATCTGCTTGGTTCTGCGGCTCCGGGCACAGCTTGGGGCTGCCATGCAATCATGGGAGGGAAAACCCCAATCCCTGGTGCAGGACAGAGGCAGGAGCTTGGCCCAGGCTTGGGAGCATCCCATCACCCAGCACCGCAGCATCGGTGCTGACAGCATCCCAACGAGCAGGGCTAGGAGGTGATCTCTTACTGCAGCTTGTCCTGTAGCTTTGGCCACCGTCCCTGTGCCTGCTGAGCTCCTGAGCTTCACCCTAAATCATTCTGCAAACCCACTGGGGTATAAGGCAGGAAGGGTTCCCCGTTTGATGGCCGCCGGCCCCTCCAGAGACCCCCAAATAACCACCAGACAGAGCTTGGCAACATTTTCTCTTGGTTTTTATATAAAAAGAAGTCAAAACCAAACCAAAGCCATTTCCACCAGCACCCCCCTTTCCTGAGCCATTCCACAGCAACCTCCACCAAGGCACCCTGCAAGCCCCAAGCATGAGCTGATGAGCAGCTCGTTTCCATTCCAGCTAGGAAGAATTAACGTAAAACTCAAGAAAACAGTGATCCTCTTTGGTATATAACGACAGGGTAAGTTATACCACAACGCTCGAGTAGGAACCATTTCCAAAATGGTCACGTCTAAAACAGCATTAGCTAGCCAGACTTTATCCCCCTTGGGAGAATTCCCCTAGAAGCAGCTCCTACCGGCGCCGCCATCCCAGCTATGGCCCATAAAAGCAGGCAAGGATCTGGAGCTCTGAAGCCCTGGGTGAGCCCAGCAGCCGCCATCCTTTCCCCACCCAGACCCCTGGGAGCCCTGCAGGACGGAGCAGCCCGGCAGGAGAGGAAGCAGCGCGATTTGGAAGCGAAAGAGGGAACAGAGGCGGTGGGAACAGCGGCTCCCGATCCACAGCAGCAGCCAGGGAGGAGGGAGCAGGGCCCCATCTCCTGCTATGTTTAAGTGCTTGCAAGGGTTCTCCCTGGGAGTGCTGATGCCTGGGATGGAACCGGCCGGTGCCGCGGTGCCGGGTGCCCAGCAGGCAGAGCGCAGCTCCCAGTGCCCGAGGAGCCAGAGCCAGCTCCTGCACTCACCCCAGCAACAGCTTGTGGAACGGGGCCCATAGAGATTAACGCTGTGCCACCGGCTCACAAGGTCAGGAAGCTTTAAAATGGGATTATGCTGCAGGAAGGACCTGCTGCCCGGCGCCTTTCCTGCGTGGGGAGGGCAGAGCTGCGCCCGGAGGCGCTCCAGTGCAATTCCACGGGCAGGAGGGCTCTGCTCTCTTTAGGGTGGCTACAGGCTAAGTTATCTGAAAGATCCCTGAATGTGCAACAAAGGACTGATCTCGAGGAGAACGAAGGAGCTTGTGATCATGTATTGACCCGCAGCCCCTCGCCAGCTCCTCCTGGGCAGCTGGCATTTGCCATCAGGCTGCTCCCAGCACCGGTGCCACGCGTCCTCCCTCGGCCCGCGGCGCCTGGAGCCCAGCGTCCGCTCTGCCAGGCTGGTTTTCACCTGCATTACAGCTCCACTTTGACTCCTTTAATAAAAGGGAGACCCGATGGCACCTTCCTCTTGTACTCCAGGTACTCTTCTCCAAAGAAGTGAATGAGGGTGATCTCCTCCTCCTCGATCCGCTCCCGGAAGAAGCGCCAGGATGCCAGGGCATAGCCCACCACGCAGATGGGGTTGCAGAGCAGCACCTGCCAACAGACAGCACCGTTGTCACCGCCAGGGAAACCAGGGCTGCCCCCGTCCCCACACACTGAGCAGTTCACCCTCTGCCCAGGGCTCTTAGATGGAGTTTTCTTTGCTGTCCAGCATAGGAATGGTGTTTGGGAGGGGTAAGGTTGAGCCTCACCGCTCACAGAAGGCATTTTGGCCCTAGGGGTGTGAGGGAACACCAGATATAGGCAAGCAGAAGTTCACACCCCGAGCTTTCAAAGGTGTTCTGCCTCAAACCCTGGCCTTACCACCCCCGCATATTCCACACATAAAATCAAGGTGATGGGGTCCTCCCAACGATCAGTGCTATGTGCTGGTGGGAGCCAGATCACCCCTGCTGCTGACCACCAGTGGTCTGCATCCCATTTGGGGTGTAGGGCAGCATTAAGAAGGAAAACCCAGGTTATATGATGAGAGCATCTGAGTGTGCTGTATACAGTACCTGTGTTCCAATACTCCAGTAAAACCATCCCACATAGGATGGGTGCCGAAACCACCCGTAGACCCCGCTGGTCACCAGAGTATGAGTCTCTGACTTCTCGTTCTGCACAATGTGGTTGAAGTTGGAGCCGGCCGTGAGCATGGCTGCTTTCCTCAGGCAGTCCCCGAAGATCACCATCAGCAGCCCCACGGTGCTCAGCCAGGTGATCTGCTTCAGCTCTGCAAGGCAACGAGGACGGGTCACAGCGGGGCTGCACTGATCATGGTCGTGATGCACGGGGTGGGGTGGGCTTTTCCCCAGATCCCAAAACACAACCATGGGTAAAACACAGCCAGTGTTCCGTGTGCTGCCATCCCAACACCAAAACACACAGCAGCAGGAGCTCCTGGCACCGAGTCACCCCAACACAGTCTGTATGACCTAAAGGGTGTATGGCTCTCCAGTGTGGAGTCAAGATGTGCTCAATGTGGATACAGGGAGCTCTACAGCTGTTACGAAGCAGGGAAGGAGAACACCTCCTGTCTCCCAGGCAAAAGAAAGCCCTGCAGATTGACCAAGGTTTTGTTGATCTGAATTTATCCCAGGTCAAAAGAAGGCACCCAGATATAACTGGAGCATCCTTCTTTGTTCCACCGAAGCAGCTTGACGTGTGCAGGTGTAAAACCCACTACATGGCAAAGGCAGCCTTACACGTGAGAGCACAGGGGGTGCTCCCTTTGCCCCCCAGGTCCAAACCTGGCTTTAAGCACAGGGACACCAAGGCTGCAGCAAATCCCCGCCCTGCTGTCAGCACCGCTCGGCTAAGCAGGGCTCACGTTGCTCCCAGGCACATGGGGCCGGGCAGGCAGGAGGGGGGGGGCTCGGAGGGACACAGGCACCGACCTGGGAACAGGATCTTCTCCAGCGTGAACTCCACCCAGGAGGAGAGGGCGGCCAGGTTGTACTCGAAGCTGTGGTTGAGCAGGAAGGAGTCCAGCGAGAGGCTGCGGGGGTTGTTGATGGCCGTCACCAGGTACTCGGAGTAGTGGAACAGGGACAGGGAGCACATGTACCTGCGGCGAGCAAGGAGGCAGCGCTGGGCCGGGCCCCCCCGCACGGCCGCGCCGGGCCCCGCCGCCGCTCTGCCCGCCCCTTACCAGCCGAAGTGCCGCCAGGCGGAGCGGCCGGCGCTCAGCAGCAGCCCGCAGCCGAAGGCGAAGCCCAGGAAGCAGGCCCGGACGGCGATCTGCGGGCACACGGAAGGAGAAGGGAGAAAGAGCCGGAGGGGAAGCCCCGCCGCGGCCTGCCCCGGTGCCCCCCGCCCCGCTGCCGGTCCCCCCGCACCTTGTAGAGCGGCCGCGGGTAGAGCAGCAGCAGCGCCGCGTTGACGCCCGCGCCGTGCAGCGCTATGGCCATGCGGCCCCGCAGCCCCGGCGAGCCCAGCAGCGCGGCGGGGGAGCCCAGCGCCGCGGGCAGCGCCGACACCGACGCGCCCAGCAGGAACGCGGCCAGGCTGGCGCGGGCCTCCCGGCCCAGCCGGCCCCGCCACCCCGCCGCCGCCGCCATCATGGCGGCGCCCGCTCCGCCCCGCGTCGCCGGGGAAACGGGGCCCCGCCCCGCGCATGCGCAGTGGGCGCAGCGGAGCGGAGCGGAGCGGAGCAGGGTTGCCTGCGGGCACGGGTGCGGTGCGGTCTGGCCGCCGGTTGGCACCGAGCAGGGGGTGCCCGGGCCGGGCTGGCTGCGGTACCAGCCCAGGGGAACGGCGCTGGACCCGAGTCCCGGGCCTCAAAGCATCCCCGGCTGGTTGCGGCGCTGCAGTGCCTCTTGTATGATCCCCGTTAAAACAGGCAGATTTCCTCCTGGTCCGTGAGGAACCAGCTTAGGGACACGTGGGGAAGCGGCACATCGCTTTGGAATCAAGCTCCTAAGCCCAGTTGCTGCTTCTCAACCCAAAAGCCCCCAAAGGAACACCCGTCTGATTCCAGTCAGCAACAACAGACTTTATTTATGCCACAGGATTCCTTAAATAAGTTAGATGTGCACAGAGAAACTACCTAGAGATGTCAACGAAACGGTCCCAGACATTCCATACGACCCCGGGGCGCGTTCCTCGTCCCAAGGGTCGTACGTGATAAGCTTTGGTTCAGGATGTACCGGCACGTTTAACACAGCATCACACAGACCCGCGGCCTCGCGCGTCCCTCGCGCCACCACGCGCCTCCAGCTCACTCCAGCACGGGGAAAGGGACCTTCTCTGGTGGGATTCAACAGTGGGAACAGCTCCAGAGGTGAACGGCGAGCGATGGGAAAGGCTCCCGGGGTGCGCTGAAGCCACCTAAAAGCACAAGGTCTACGGTGCTAAACCGATGAGCGGCGAAGCAGCGGCACGGCCGCGGCGGCTCCGGCGGCAGGCAAAGGGCGCGAGGCCCGGCGCGGGCACGACACGAACAGGAACCGTGGCTGCGGCGGGGGCGCGGGGCGGGGTGGGTCACTGCAGGGCAGCCTGCTGCAGCTGTGCCTGCCGCTTGGCCTTGGTCTGCAGGTACCGGCCCTTGCCCTCCTCGAAGCGCCGCTTCTCGTCCTCCGTCTCCGTCTGAGGGGGACAGAAAGAGAGCAAAGGCACCGGCGTGAGCTGCCCGGTGGCCACTGTCATGGGAAGCCCCATGCTCTGCACAGCGCGTGTTGGGGCAGGTACCGCGCTCCTACACAGAGCAGGAGCAGACCTGCACGGGGTGGAATCTCCATGAGCAGCCCCCAGCGCCGCGCCAAAGCCCTGCTGGGATCAGGAGAGCTAAAACTAGGCTGGAGTGGGGACACCATGGGGAGAGGAGCCCCACTGCTGCGCAGGGTGCCCTCCTCTGTGTAGCAGGGGAAGCTGGAGAGCCTGCACAGTGCCTGTCCTCACCCATGGGAACGGGAAAAACCCTGGCAAGTTTCACAGGAAACGGGTGTAAAAATAGCCAAAGCAAACCCAACCAAGCCTAAGGCTCCTTCGCACATACTTTTGTGCTGAATAATTCAAGGGAAGAGGATCTGTTGAGCAGAACTGCCTGGGCTCTGCCCCGGCGCAGCAGGAGCAGGCCCGGCCCCACTGGCTTGCAGCCCGGTGCAGAGAGCTCTTACCAGCAGCTGCGGGACGGGCAGGGGCTTCCCCTCCTTGCTCAAGGAGACGTAGGTGAAGAAGGCGCTGACGGCTCGGTACCGCTCCCGGGACTCGTCCACGAACGGGTCCGCGTCCACAAAGACCTCGATTTCCATGGATTTATTGCTTGTGAAGGTCATGCGCCCCGAAATGGTGATGACGCTGCCTGCGAAGTGCGGAGGGGAAGGTCAGGCGGGAGGGCGCAAGGGGGCCCCTGGGCTTTATGCTTAAGCCTTGAGCTGAGCTTCTCCACACAAGGCCAAGTCTAACAGGGAATAAGTTCACTGCCAGAGCACCCAAGGGAGCCGGGATGTGGCACTGCGGGAGAGCAAAGGGCCCACCGCCACCCTGGTACCTTTCTTGATCTTCTCGTGGAAGTTGATGGCATCCACGGAGGCAGTGACAATGTTGGTCTTGCAGTGACGGGCAGCCACAATGCCGGCAACCTCATCCATGAGCTTCATGGTGACACCTGGGGGAACAGAGGGTTCTGCCTTAGGGAAGCCGATGGCTTCTTTGGGGAAACTTCACCTTTCCAAGGCAAGAGCAGTCACACAAACTTCCCGCTTGGAAGAAGCTCCCAGATGTTGTTTGCACCTGAAAGGACACGGATAGATGAAGAGCAGCACCCAGCATCATCCTGGCCCTTGCCAAATGCGCCTCTCCCTGGCTCACACCACACACCCTGCCCAGGCCACGGGTGCTGCCAGCCAAGAGGAAACTGCTCCAGCAAATCGCAGTCACTGTGCATGGGTGCTCGTAGTCCCAGATTTGTAACTTGAGAGACAGTGACAAAACTGAGGGATTCATGGTCTGAGCATCCCTTTTCAGGGCCTTTTTTCAGCATTGGAAAAGACGAAGCTTTTGTCTCAGCTGAAGCAAAGCTGAACTTTATGGACGGTGGAAGTGCCTTCTGGCCTCCCAAAAACACTGAGACAACAAAGTCACCCCCAGGCCGTGCTTCTGCTCAGGGGACGAGCCAGGGCAGCCACTGGAGGGGGCAGCACTCACCTCCATGCACGAAGCCCAGCAGCGTGCAGTCGGAGGGTCCCACCAGATGGATCAGGCTGGACTGGCTGTAGCCAACAGTGTGCGGCTCTGCGTGGGGGAAAGAGAGCAAAGCAGAGGTCAGAGCCGTATGCCCCCATCTTCAACCGTCTGAAGGAAGAAAACATGGAGCTAGCTTGTGCGAAGCTGAAGCATGTTTAAACCAGCGTTTAAATGGGAGCTGGCAGGTTCCAGGAGCAGACTATTCACCACCTGATGGGCTGCCGCCTCCCTCTGCTGCCCATCACCAATCTTACTGCAGCTCAGCTCTTTTTAGCTTTCAAATAGCCCATGGCTGTACGCTTTCCCTCCTCCCCAACCCTGCTGCTTAGTGGCATCTCCAAAGAGCCACGTTTCCCCCTGGGCATGGCCCCCCAGCCCTGGCACACGCGGGTGACATCCGACTTGCCACTAAATCCATCCGACAGAGATCACACTGACTGCCAGCAGAGGAAAACTGCCCTCAGTGCCTGCATCTTCTGTCTAGCGAGAGATGCTGAAGGTGTTAGTGCAGGAAAACCAGCGGCGCTGCGGAGCCTTACCTTTCGTCTGCCTGTCTGTGAGCAGGGAGAACAGAGGGGAAAAAGCATTTGAGCAACTTCCATCCCACATCACCCCCCCGTTGATCCCCACACGCCACCACCTCTGCACCTCTGCCCAAGGATCCCACCCACCAACCAGCAGGTTCACAGCCCACCCAGCTCCCCCTCCACACTCCCATCCCTGATGCACTGTTTAGAGCACACGTGCAGCCACACCTGCCCAGGGATGGGTGGACTTGCCTCAGGGACCAGTTCATCCTCCCAGCACAGGCCGTGCACCGCCTGCGGTACCTGGATTGATGATGGGGAAGATCACGTCTCCATTTCTCTGCTTAGTTTCCAGCCGATCCAGCTTTTGCTCCTCATAACGCTTCTTCCCCTCCTCCTCCTGCTCCTTTCTTGCATACTGGAAGGAAAAGCTGGTAAGAACTCACACCCTGGGGTTGGAAAAGCCACCGGCACTGCCGGGAGTGCCAATGGGGCCGGGTTAGCTCTGGTTATCAGCGACCAACACAAGCTGTCCTACCTGGATGGGGGGAACCTCAACGACCTTGTTCACGTTCTTCAGGGACAGTGGCACATACCACAGCGTCGCCTTGTTTGTCACCTTCTTTGCCCCTGGAGGAGAGGTGGCAAAGGGTGACTGTGCCAACACCAGCAGCGCTTCTACCACCGGCACTGCTGCGGTACAGGGCTGGCCATACCCTGGCGATGCCACTGGCACTGGGCAGGCCCCTGCCCTGATGGGCTCTGGCTCAGAGCGGATGTGGGAAGGTGTCCTGGCAATCTGAGCCGGTTGCCACAGCAACAGCAGGAAAAGGGCCTTGTTCAGGCCAAAGGCCTCCACGAGCTGCAAATTAGGCAGGAGGAGCCGGCAGGGATTCACTGTTCTTCCCTAAAAGCCATCAATGGAGCTGCAGTCCCCAGGGACCAGCCTGAATGCCCCTTCCCTGCGCTGCCCACAGCCCTCTCAGTAAGCACACAGCACCTCCCTCTGCCCGCTGCTGCCGGAGGACGGGGTCACCACCGCGAGCTCTGGGCTCATGGCCGGTATTCCCAGAGCGCTGGGACAGGGCTCTCACCTGTGAGAATGTTTTCGGACATGACGTTGACCTGGACCTCCACCGAGTGCCGGGAGGTGTAGGTGATCTCAGCGCTGACGTTGGCCACCTCGCCGATGCACACCGGGGAGAGGAAATCCGTCCGCTCCACCCGCGCCAGCGCGGCCACGCAGGGCTCCTGCGGATGTGGGACAGCGAGGGTAGGACCGCAGCCGTGCCGCTGGGGCCGGCCCGCGCCGCATGGAGCTCCGGCGTTTCAACCTCCGCCTTATCAGCCCATGGCCGTGTTTCCTTCCCCACCCATAACTGACACCAGGCTGCTTCCAACGAGCCCTTCATGGCTGTTAAAGTATTACCAGCAGCATCGTTTCTGCTGGGATGATCCTGGAAACCACGGCCATGCTCCAGCGGCAGCCGTGGTTTGCACTCAGGAGCAAATGCTTCCAGTGCAGGGGGGCAAATGGGAAGGCCCCCAGACCCCTGAGGCACAGCAGGGGGGTCAGAGAGTCACCGAGCCAGAGCCCAGCGCCAACTCACCCCATCCTGGGAGTTGCAGTGGCGGGTGCTGATGATGGCTCCCGCCTCCTCGATCATCTTCAGGATGATTCCCCCATGGACATTCCCAGCGAAGTTGGCATCATCCGGTCGCATGATCCTGCCAGGGGACAGACATGGGAGCTCACACCCCGCTACCATGCCCCTGACCAGGGTCAGCCACCCATAGGCACTGCCATGGCCCTACCGGATGAGCTGCTGGGCCATCTCACCACGCTGATGCCAGCAACGTCACCGGCACTGCCTGCACGTGGCTTCCTGCAAGCGGCAGCGGAAACTGCCCTAAATTACTGCTGGGAGTGGAAGGAAGCATCGCTCCTGTGCCGGGGCAGCCGGCTCGGCCAGGACAACAGCATCCCAGCAGCTGCAGCTTTTGCCAGCATCAAATAATCAAGCAAAGGAGGAAAGGAGAGACATGCTGATTATGGGGCAATGGCTGCGTGTGGGCCTAGACAGGACCCACGCCTTGGCAAGAGGGAGTCGCAGCTGGAAAAGGCAGAAAAACCGGGACACACCCTGCCCAGCTCACACGCAATGGGGCGAGAGAGCAGCGCTGCTTTGCTGTGCCTGGTGCAGGCAGCATCACTCGCACAGGCAGCGATGCTGGTGCCGGCAGCGTGGACCAGCGCAGGCAGTGATGCTGGTGCCGGCAGCAGCGCAGGCAGTGATGCTGATGCCGGCAGCGTGACCAGCGCAGGCCGGATGCAGGCAGCACCGCCGGTAGCATCCCGGTTACAGAGGCCGGTCCCGCCCGCAGCACCCCCAGCCCAGCCCTGCCGGGCCCTCCTGCTGCCCCGGGGCCGTACCTGGAGACCTGGATGGCGGCCGGGCCCGGGCCCGCGGCCCCCCGCTCCGACATGGCGGCACCGGCGCCCCGCCCGCAACAGCGCTGCGGCAGCACCGCGCCCGGCCGCGCCCCGTCCGGCTGGGGACACGCCCGCCGCGAAGCCCCATTGGCCAGCAGCGCCTGGCCACGCCCCCGAGCCGGCAGGGTGGGCGGGGCCAGAGGCGGGGGGCGGAGCGCCGGTGGTGACCGGGGGGGGGGTGTCCCGTGGGGCTGTGGCCCCGGTGCATGGATGGGGATGGACGGAGCGGGCTGGCAGAGACGGAGGGGCCGAGAGTCCCGGGGGGAAAAGGGGTGTCCCGGAGGTATCACCTTATGGAACAGGGCAACGGCAGGGCCCGACGGGAACATAGCGCTCCACCGTCCCGGTACCGGTTCCGGTAGCGCCTTTATGGGCCTGAGGGGCGGGACTGGACTGGAGGGGCGGCCTCGTCGCTGTCCGCGGTGCTGAACGGGCGGTGCTGCCTCTGTCCGCGGTGCTGATGCGGGCAGTCCCAACCCGCCCGCGCCGCTCGTAACCGGTAGTCGCCGCCGCTGCCCGCCGTCGGTTCCCGCGGTGCCGGCTCTCCCGCGGCAGGACGAGGCAGCTCATCGCGGCCAGCGTCCTTCCGCTCCCCCCCAGCGGATGCTCCCCGGGTCAGCAGGCACACGTCGGGCGGCGGATGGAGACACTCGTGGGGCAAGAGGGGAGCAGCTCCCCAGGGCCGTGGAGGGCAGCGGCGGCAACCGGGCATGGGCCGCTCCTGAGGTCCCCGGGCCGGTCCCGGTCCCAGCTGCAGCGCAGCAAAACGCGACCGCCCTGGGCAGCGGGCGGAGAGCTCCGGTCAGCGGGCAGCCGTCGGGCGGGGCGGGCGGAGGGGCGGCCCCGGGCAAGGAGGAGGAGGAGGTGGAGCCGGCGGGGCCGGGGGGCGGCGGGGCTGGAGCGCCGCGCAGTGCCAAGCGGCGGCCGGGGCCGGCGGGGCCCGCTCCGGTGCCGTCGGGGCCGGGATGGCGCTGGAGCGGGCGCTGCTGGCGGCGCGTCAGGGAGACGTGGAGGCGCTCCGGGGGCTGCGGGCGGCCGGGCTGCTGCGGCCGGGGCTGCGGGACGCGCTGGGCGCCTCCCCCGCGCACCACGCCGCCCGCGCCGGCCGCCTCGCCTGCCTGCGCTTCCTGGCGGCTGAGGCCGCTCTGCGCGGGGACGCGCGGGCCCGCAACGGGGCCACACCGGCCCACGACGCCGCCGCCACCGGCAACCTGGCCTGTCTGCAGTGGCTGCTCACGCAGGGGGGCTGCGGCGTGCAGGTGCGAGCGGGGCGCGGGGGGGGCGGCGGGGGGGCACCGGCGGCGAGGGGAACCGGGGCGACTTTCCCGGGCCCCTCCTGGGCGGGGCGGAGGGGAGGTCACGGCCAGCACCGGGCCCGGAGAGCCTCCGGTGGCCCGGCGGGGCTGAGCCCCGAGGGGCGCTCAGAGCCTCCCTCCCGGGGTTACACAACGGCGGGACCGGGGCGGTAAGCGGCTTGTCCGGGGCCGGCCGAGAGCTGAGGACATGTGACGGGCTGGAGGAAGAGGAGGTGGCAGAGGGCCGGGGATTAATCGGGAAGGACGGGGTCAGCACGCTTGGGCAGGCTCCGGTCGGCGGCACAACGGGGTTCTGCAGTGCGCTCGCACAGGCTGGGCTGCCCCACACCGGCAGAACAAGGGGGCTTTGCCCACCCCTTGCTGGTTGCGGGTGCAGGCCCCACTGGACAGCCAGCACACTTGCCCCATGGTCCTTCGGATGGTCCTGTCCCCCCGTGGTCAGCATCTCCACCCCAGCCAGCCCACCCTGCTGGGCCAGCTCCTCTGGGTGATGCCCAGCAGCCCCTCACACGCTTCATTGCAAGGGGCTCAGGTTCCGGGTGCCAAAAGCCACCCCGCTTCCTCCTGCAGGATACAGACAACTCCGGTGCCACCGTCCTACACCTGGCAGCCCGCTTCGGTCACCACGAGGTGATCGAGTGGCTCCTCCGCTTCGGAGGCAGCGACCCCACAGCAGCCACCAACACGGGAGCGCTGCCCGTCCACTACGCCGCGGCCAAAGGGGATTTCCCTTCCCTGCGACTCCTCTTGGGACACTGCCCCAGGTAACGGCCCCCGCTGCCAGCAGAAAGGGGCAAGCAGGGGCGCGGGTCCTCACTGCTGCCCCATCCCTCCCTCCGGCCGCCGGGCAAGGAGCCAGCCCCGGGGACAAACAGCGCAGCCACCCGCATCCCGCAGCTCCAAGGGCAACGCAGCGTTATCAGCGCAGGCAGCCAGCCTCACCTTCTTTATGGCCCTGAGAGAAAGGGCGAGGAGGAGAGCGGGGAGCGCTGGCAGAAATACTGCTGCCGGCCGCGGTGCTGCTGGCTCGGGCCGATAACACAGCCGCCTTTGTCCGCGCGTTATGTAAATGGATTGGGCTGCCCGCCGGGGAGAGGCCGCTCCCCGCGCCGGAGCCGACCTTTCCGCCCGCCCGGTGCCGCGGGCACCGCTGGACGTGAATCGTCCTCCCCGCTTCGCCTCCCGACGGTGCCCCCCGGGGGCGCGGCGCAGCAGCCCCCCGGGCACAGGGGGCCAAGCCTGGCCGAGGGGCCGCGGCAGGGATTAGGTGGCCCCTAATCCAATTTGCTGCTGCGGTGGGCAGAGGCCGCTAGAAACAACCCCCAGGCACGGGGGGCCACGCTGCTGCCCCACACCACACCCAGCAGGCTGAAAGGATGCAGATGCAAGGGGGACACGCGGCACCCCCACATCCACAGGGTCCCAAGTATGCAAGAGATAAACTGGGGCTCAAGAACCCCCTGTCCCTGGGGTCCGCGATGTCAGCCCCCCATCCTTCCCGCCAGGCAGAGCCCATTGCAGGCCCCTATATACCCATGGCACTCACCAGCACCACCACAGCCTCCCCAGCCCCAGCCCCGGCTCTTTATCCCCTTCCCCAGGTGTGTCAGCTAAGCCCCGGCACCTGGGGAAGGGGGGGGAATTAACCCCCCATGGCCCACAGCCCAGCCCCAGCCCAACCACAGCTCCTGCTCGGTGCCCGCTGCATTGGCCCCGGTGAGCGCGGCGCTGGCGTTGACTTTCACGCTTCTTGCCGGGGTTGCTCTGCTGCCGTTGACGCCTTCCCCCTGAATTATTTAGGGCTGGCCCCGCTCCCGGCCCCGCGCCCGCCCGCAGGCTCCGTTACAGCCACGAAATCCAATCCCCAGGAGCCGCGGTGGGACGCTGGCACTTCCAGCCCACCTTAGCACCGGGCTGTGGGATCCCAGCAGCCGGTGGCCCCAGTGTGGGGTCGAGGCCATCTGGCAAAGCAGTTTACCAGTGCTTGTCCAAGAGGCTTAACCCCTTCCCGATTAGTGGGAAACAGGACCCAGGGGCTGAACGTGTGCCCATGCCCCCATAGCTCCCTGTTCCCCAGCCCAGCCTCCGTCACCCCAGCACCGGCCCTTGCTTGTGCCCTCCCGGTGCTGTGGCACGGTGGGAAGGCAGCGCTGACCACGGCCCGTCTCACAGTTACAGGGATCAATTATTAAGGGCCCACGATCACTGCGATAACAGAGCAGAGTATTTATTGCTCTTCCTCTTTTAAATATTCAACAGGGGTTTTTATGGGGCGCTGAACAAAACAGCTTCCTGCACGGCAGGGGTTGATGCAGAATATGGGGGGTGGGATGCAGGGTTGTAGGATACAGGCTGTGCGATTTGGGATGTGCAGTTCAGGACCGGGAGCAGAGGGGGGATGCTGGTGCTGATCGGTGTGGTTTGGGTCAGCGTGGTGCAGGTCAGCCTTCCCCTGCCGGCTGCCCTGCAGCCGGTGCTGCCTAAGCTGCTTATTTAAGAACAGGGCTAAATTGCAGTGTCCAAAAAGAGCCGGAGGAAGGAGCTTAGCCTAAGCAGGCTGATTAACTTAGTGACCTCCCACCGCAGTGGCCGCTGCTGTGCTGGGACCCAGTGGGGAGCTGTGGGGTGGGTTGTTCCCAATCCACCCTGCCTGGACCAACCCAGCATCCCCTCTGTGCTCCTGCGTGTCCCTGTGTCCCGCATATCCCCATGTCCCTGTGTCCCACACGGCTCCTGCACCCTGTACCCTGGTCCCAGTGCAGTGGCCATGGGTGACTGGCCCTGTGCCCTGCTTGCAGCACGCTGAGTGCCCAGACCAAGACGGGGGCCACCCCGCTGTACCTCGCCTGCCAGGAGGGCCACCTGGAGATCATCCAGTACCTGGTGCAGGACTGCGGGGCCGATCCCCACGCGTGTGCCCATGACGGCATGACCCCGCTGCACGCTGCCGCACAGATGGGCCATAACACCGTCATCGTCTGGCTGGTAAGAGCCGGGTGCGGTGGGGTGATACAGCACTGCAGCAGGGCCTGCGGTGCTCAGCACCCGTGCTCGACCCAACACCCCGCAGATGAGCTTCACATCGGTGAGCCTGTCGGAGCGGGACGCCGAGGGCGCCACGGCCATGCACTTCGCCGCCAGCCGCGGCCATGCCAAAGTGCTGAGCTGGCTGCTGCTGCATGGCGGGGAGATCACCGCGGACGGCTGGGGCGGCACGCCGCTGCACGACGCCGCCGAGAACGGAGAGCTGGAGGTGGGTGCTGGTGACCGGCGCGGTGCCGGAGCACGCGGAGGGGGGAGCCACCCTCCAGCCCCCCCATGTGCCCCCACTCTCTCCAGTGCTGCCAGATCCTGGTGGTGAACGGCGCCGACCTCAGCATCCGCGACCAGGACGGCTACACTGCGGCCGACCTCGCCGAGTACAACGGCCACAGCCACTGCGCGCAGTACCTGCGCACGGTGGAGAACATGGTACGGGGGTGCCCTGGGGCTGAGCACATGGGGAGCGCCGTGGCTCCCACCCTGTGCCTGACGACGCGGCTGTGCCGGCAGAGCGTGGAGCACCGCGTGCTGTCGCGGGACCCCTCTGCGGATGGGGAGTGCCGGCAGCCGGACTCGGGCATGTCCTCACCCAACACCACGGCGTCGGCGCCCCAGGCGCGCTTCGAGGTGGGCTCCCCCACCAGCACCCTCTCCAACTACGACTCCTGCCACTCCAGCCAGTCCAGCACCGGCGACAAGAGGGGCGGCCCCCCGGGGGCCCCCGCCTCCCGTGAGTGCGGGGCCGTGGGGCGCGGGGCGGGGGGCACGGGGCCAGCCCCCCCTGACCCCCTGCCCTGCGCAGGGGTGCCCGAGCCGGCGCTGGCGGACATGCAGGCGTACATGGACATGCTGGACCCCGAGACGCGGCCGCGGGGACGGGGGCCCGCAGGGGAGGGTTCCCCCCCACCGCCGCCCCCCACATTCCCCCCACCCCCCCCCACCCCCCCCCGGGTACCCCGCTCCTGCGCCCCCCGCCGCGCCCCACACCGCAGACATCTACGTGCGGGCCAAGAACAACCTGCGGCACGTGGAGAGCCAGGCGCTGCGCCGAGAGGTACGGCCGCTGCTGGCCACACTGCTCAGGGGCCGTGCCACCGGGCACCCATCCCCATGGGCAGCCATCAGCTCACGATGGCACCGGGAGGGGACATTGCCCACTGAGGCCATGTGCCCGCGATGCTGGCACACACCAGGGTGCCCAGCGATGCCCCAGCACGGCACTGGGGGCCCCGCTCCACCGCGGTGCCAGGCTGGCGGCACCGTGCAGCCGCGCCCATGCGGCCCGGGCGATGCCGCCGGCACCGTGCTGGGCGTGCGCAGCCGCGCAGGCTGCAACCCGAGCGGCCGGCTCCGGTGTCCCGGTGCTGCGGGTGTCGGGTGGCACAGCCGGCGCTGCCAGCAGCTGAGAGCGCTCAGCCGGGTGGGCACAGGTAAGAGGGGTGCAGCCCCCAGGGCTGGGGGGCAGTGGGGTGCGGGGGGCTTGGGGGTGTCCTGACCCCCAACCATGGCTGTTGGCACTCCACCGGTGGCAGGAACCCGGTGTGTGGCCATGGCCAGGGTGCTGGCATAGCCCAACACTAAAGGGGACAGGGGCATATGGGGCAGGGGGCTCACAGAGCCCAGTGTAGGCTCAGGACCCCGTTGTACCCATTGTGCATGGCCCTGGCTCAGCACTTAATGAGTGGCCCCAACCGCAGCTGCCCTGAGGAGATGCCAGCCCGGTGCCGGAGCGGCACAGGCACCCCATGCAATGGGGCTGGGCAGTGCAGACCCCACACCAAACCAGGGCTGGGGCTGCTAGGGCAGGAGCCGGGCTTGGCACCGTGCCCGCGGCACCCAGAGCAGGAAGCGCTGAGATGGCGCTTGTTGACTTGGTGCGAGGGCTGCGGGCGGAGATGGCGCACGGGGAAATGCAAATAGCAGGGCCCCCGGCACGGGGCTCGGGGCTGTGCTGCCGCAGCGCCATAAACCATGGAGCGGGTACAGCCCCTGCAGCACAGCCCTGCAGCAAAGCCGCTGCGGTATGTGCCGGGGTGAGCCGGGGCTGCGCTGCCTGAGCGCCCTGTTCAGAGGGAGGTTTGGCACCAGGCCCTGGCCCTGCAGGGGATTAGCTCCCGATAATCCACAGGGCCGGGGCTTGGCACTCCTGTTCCCACAGGGTTATCCCAGGGGAGGCTCCTGGACCCAGGCTGGGGTGGGGGTCACAGTGCCAGGCACTGGTGGTGCGTGTTGCCAGCCTGGCACACAGCCCCTACTGCAGCCTTGTGCCAAGGGGAGCCCCGGGGCATGCTCCTGCCGTCGCCCCAGCCTGGCATCTGCCCCATGGCCGTGCCCGTGTTAAGCCGCGCTCCCCATTGCAGTTGGCATCACGTGAGAGCAGCCCCGAGGGCCTGCGCAGGGTCGACTCCAGCCGGCGGTCGAGGAACTTTGGCAAGCAGCCGAGCACCGGCGACTACTACAAGCACCTGGGGCACGGTGCAGCCGAGCAGCCCGGCCCCCGGCGGATGGCGCACAGCGAGGAGGTGAGACCGGGGCCCTGTGCCGCGAGCCTGCGCGTGGCTCAGCACCACCGGCACCGCTCGACGCCTGCCCCTGCTCTCCTCCAGGCATCGCCCATCTCAGCGGACACCATGCGCAATGGGGAGAGCAAGCCCGGTGCCGAGCTGCCGCCACCGCCGCCACCGCCACCACTGCCCGATGCCGCCTGCCCCACGGCTCCACCGCCACCAGCGATGGCCGAGACCCCCGCCGGTGCGCGCCGCTCGTCCTCCTCCACGGGAAGTAAGTGGCAGGGATCCCGGGCACTGTCCCATTGGGGCACCGGCACATCTCCTCCTGCGGCACCGCGGCCGCGCAGCTCCTGACGGCCTCTCTGTCCTTCTCTCCTCCGGTGTCGGCGCGGGGGCTCCCCTGCCCGCCCGCCCCTGCCTGCTCTCACTGCTGGCCGCTTCTCTTCTCTCTTGTCTCGGGGTGGCCAAATCCTTCCTCTGCCGCGCGCCCTGCGCCGCCTCTCTGCTTCTCCCCCTAGGAGGAAAGGCGCTCAGGCAGATGAAGAGTAAGTACCGCAGCCCTGCGCGCCTCCCTGCTCGGGGGTGCCGGAGGGGCCAGCCTGGCACTGTCCCATGCCAGAGCCATGGGACATCGATGACCAATGGGGGCGGCACCTGCTAGCAGTGGCGGGGCCCACTGAGCCCTCGCCACGGCATCACCAGGAGATGCCATGCGGCTCCCGAGCGACGGTGCGGGGCTGCCGAGGCCACCGGGCAGGGCTGGCAGCGCCGGGGCCCCGCACACAGAGAGCCTTTGTTCGCGCTCAGCCGGCCGGCGTGACCCCGCCACGTGAGCACCGGCCGCTCCCCCGAGCTTTATTAGCGCCGGCTCCCGGGGCCGCGGGGTCTCGGCGGCGCTGGATGGCAGCGCCCGCAGCACCCGCAGCCCTCCGAGCGGGGCGAGCCGCGGGCACCGGGGAGGGGGCTCTGCCTTGGCGCAGCACCATGGGCCGTTAGGGACCCGCTCATGGCTGGCACGGACGGTGGGTGCTGGTGGGGTGTGGGCATTGCCGCCGGCGCTGCTGTGCAGCCGTGGGGATGGTGCAGGGCTGGAGCAGGGTGCCGGTGCATTGCTGCTGGGGGCTGTAGGGTGTCCAGTTCCCCGGTGGGGCAGCACGGGTCTGTCCTATGGTGCTGGACCAGCCAGGAACAGGTCCTTCCACAGGCAGATCACTGCTCTTGCAGTGGGGGGGGGGATGAGAGATGCTGCTCTAATGGGGCTCCCAGTTGTGGGGGGGCAATCAGCCAACCACCCCTGTGCCCTGCCAGCCTGCAGTGCACCCAGGGCATCAGGGGCTGCCAGCAGCAGGGCTCTTATTGCCCACCCTGCCTCCCACCAGGCACCAAGTCCTTCAACATGATGTCCCCCACCGGTGACAACTCGGAGCTGCTGGCCGAGATCAAGGCTGGGAAGAGCCTCAAGCCGACGCCACAGAGCAAAGGCTTCACCACCGTCTTCTCCGGCAGCGGCCAGGCAGGGGCCAACGTAGGTGGTGGTGATGAGAGGGGTGCCGGCGGCGCGGTGTGGTGTGGCTGGGTGGACACCTACCACTGGGCTCTGTTTCCCCACAGGCAGAGTCGCCGGTGTCCTCCCCATCACCCACCAGGACGCCCACCCCACCGGCCACCCCTGAGGCCACCGGGCCACCGCGCTGCCTGGCAGGCAGCTCCCCGGAGCCGGTGCTCAATGGGAGCTCGCCGGTGCCGGCGGCAGGCGCCGGGGCAGCGGTGGAGGCGGAGGCGCTGGTGCCGAGCCACGATGAGCAGGGCCGGCCCATTCCCGAGTGGAAGCGGCAGGTGATGGTGCGCAAGCTGCAGCTCCGCATGCAGGAGGAAGAGGAGCAGCGCCGCAAGGTAAGGGGGGCCCTGGGTGCCGGGGTGGCGAGCACGGCGCGGGCACGGCCCAGCACCTCCAGACCTGGTGTCACGGTGTGCGTGGCACCACCTCCAGCCCCAAGGCAGGGACCACCTTACCCGCACGCAGGGGCATGGCGAGGCGCACATGGCACAGCCTCAAGAGCCCCTTTGCCCTCTCTCCCGCCGCAGCCCGGGAGCCGCTCGCCGCCCCCGTGCCGGCACGGGCCGGGACCCGCCGGGCAGCCGATGCGGGAGGAGGATGTGCGGCACGTGGAGCGGCGCCTGGGGACCCTGCGGGTGATGCAGGAGGCGCAGCCGCGGCCGCTGCTGCCCGGGCGGCTGGAGCAGGAGCTGGGGCCGCTCCTGCCGCGCCACACGGCCCCGGCGCCCCGGGATGCGCCTGCCCATCGGGATGAGCCCGCTCGGGGGCTCGGGGCGGGGAGCAGCCCCGGCACCCAGCTCGATGCCCAGCGCGAGATCCGGGGCTGCGGTGTGTCCGTGCGCAGCCTCAAAGCCAACTACGAGGGGCCGAGGGGGGCCCCTGCGCCCCTCCCCAGGGTCCCCAAGCGCAAGCGCTCGCAGCCCCCCGGCAGCAGCCGCCGGCCCGTCCTGGAGGAGGAGTACGGGGCCGGGGCGCCGCGGCAGAGCAGCCCGCGGGAGCGCGCCGAGGCGCGCAAGGAACGCGCCATCTGCCTCTTCCTGGAGCACTGGAGGAAGCGGGTGCTGGCGGCGGTGCCCGGCGAGGAGCGGCTGCAGTGGCCGGGGGCGCGGCGGCGGGCGGCGGGGCGGCTGCTGGCGCGCTGGAGGAGCATCGCCCGCCGTGTGCCGGGCCGGCAGATCCGGCGGCTGAGCCGCACCGCGGTGCTGTACTGGCCCCAGCACTTCCTGCCCCACGTCGGCGGCTCGCCCATGCCCCACGACAGCCTCCCCCTCGACCTCTTCATGCTGGGCTACTTCCAGCTGCTGGAGATGCCGCTGAGCCCCGAGGAGCGGCGCTTCCGCCACCTCCTCTGCTACGAGATGTTTGACCGCCTGGGCAGCCACAGCTGGCACCGGGTGCGCCGCTTCCACCGCGCCGCCCTGGAGCGGGTCGAGGCCGGGCACCGCTGCTGGTGCGACGGCTTCGAGGACCTGGTGCACGAGTTCTTTGGGGACAGCCCCGCCGCGGAGGCCCCGAGCCCGCCGGAGCCCCCCGCCATGCCCGCACCGCCAGGGGAAGGGGCCGCAGCGCCGGCACCGGTGCTGGAGCTGGGCGAGTTCAGCGAGGAGGATGTCTGTCGCTTCATCGACCGCAGCTTCTCCTTCTGGAAGGAGAAGGAGGTGGAGATGTTCGACACCTGAGCCCGGCGGGATGCGGCGGGCGGTGCGGCACGGGGCTGGCTGCGAGCGGGTGCCGGCGGCGGCAGGAGCCGGTGCTTGGGCTCAGCCCAGCGGTTTGCGCTGGGCGCAGGCTGAGGTTGCGGTGTGCCGCTTGCTGTGGTGCTGTGTTGTGCGGGGACGCAGCGCCGGGGCTGCGCTCCCCTCGGGAGTGGTGTTTGCGGTGCCGGGGCGGTGTGAGCCCCCGCGTGTCAGTGCAATAAAGCTGTGGTGTGCTGCGAAGGGCTGGCCACGCCGCGCACTCCTTCCTCCTCCCCGCGCTGGCAAAGGCCCGTAGCGAGGGGCAGCGTCGATGAGCGGTGCCGTGTGCCGGGTGATGCTGCTGCCCCGTGGTGCCGATGGTGAGGGTGGGCAGCCGGCAGTGCCGGTAACACGGGTGTCTGTTGCAGGAGCAGGAGGAGGAGGCGCGCCTGGCCAGCATGCCGGCCTGGAGGAGGGACATCCTGCGCAAGAAGCTGGAGGAGGAGAGGTGAGCCGGGGCCGCGGGACGCAGCACGGGGTGGCTGCATCCATGGCTCCGCTAACCCTGCTCTTCCCTTTGCCTTCGCAGGGAGCAGAAACGGTGAGTGCCACGAGCCCCTTCCCTGGGCAGGCAGGCGGGCACGGTGGCTGCAGCGGCTCTGGTGACCGTGGCACCCCGTGCCCTCCACTGCCGAGCAGGAAAGAGCAGGAGAAGCTGAAGCGGGAGGAGGAGGAAAAGGAGAAGGAGCAGTCGGAAAAGCTAAGGACTCTCGGGTACGATGAGACAAAGCTGGCACCCTGGCAGCGGCAGATCATCCTCAAGAAGGGGGACATAGCCAAGCACTAGCCACGCCATGCCGTGCCCTGGCTCTTCGTGGTGGGAGGAGGCCAGCAGGTCCCACCATGGACCAGGACGCCCTCGGCACCCTCCTCCCGCCGCGGACGGCCCCATAGCCCGACCCGGAGGAGCCCCTGCTGCCATCCATAGCCCCGTCCCGCTGCCACCAGCCCACAGCCACCCCGTGCTGCCCTGTGCACAGCGAGCTGCCACGGCACAGGGCACCCGGCTCCTTGTGTGCTGCCCGGCATGACCATGGCGCCCGGGTTGGCTGCGCTGCCGGCTCCCCACTGGCACTGCTCGCCGCTGCGGCTGCAGCATCTTCGGCTCCAGTCCTGCCCCTCCCGCCTCCGGAGCTGCTCCAGGCCGGCTCCCAGCTCCCCTCGCCCCGGCCCGCCTGCCTTCCCAGCCATTAAACCGATAAACCCCGCCAGCAGTGCCCCGCGCCTTCCTGGGGCTGCCCACGCCACCCCCTGCCCGCACCGCGCTGCCCATCACCCGCAGCACCCCAGCACCAGCATCACCCGCGGTGATGACCCTGACCGGCGGATGGAGAACGTGCCACTTTATTGGGGTGGGGGCACGTGCCGCCAGCTGCGGGCGGCCTCGAGAACTAACCCATGGGTTCAAAGGGGCTCAGTGCCCGCTCATCCCGTGAGGGGCCCGGCAGCTGGTATGCGGGGCGCGGGGTCCCCTCTGCCCCCATGAGCAGGGGGATATAAATAGGGGGGGCCGGCGGGCAGGAAGGGGACATAAAACTGACATAAAATGTCTACACGGCATAAGTAACAATACTTAGGGGTATGGCTCGGCTGAGGCGCAGCACCAGGGGTCAGGGTCCCACTGAGAGGCTCCGGCGCAGGGCCTCGGCACAGCCGGCCAGCTCCATGCGCTCCAGCGCGGTGAAGATGCGGTCGAGTGTAGCGCTGGTCTGCTGGCACCAGCGCTTCAGCATCTCGTACTGCTGGTCGCGGATGTGGGCCACCTCCAGCTCCACCAGCTCAATCTCTGCCTCCCGCAGCTCCAGCACCCGCATGAACTCCTTCCAGCGCCGCACCGGCACCGCGTTGATGACGGCGTAGAGCTGGCTGCCCTGCAGCAGGGCGCCGCGGGGCTCCGGTGGGGCAGAGGGCTCCAGCTCGCCGGGCTGTCCCCGCAGTAGTGCCTCGCATATGGGGCTCTGCCTTGCCACGCCGCTGGCATGCTCCAGCACTGGTGAGGAGCATGGCTGGGTCCAGCACCGGCTGTCCCACCCCTGGGCACTGACCTGGCACTGCGGTGTGGCCACAGGGCTGGATAGTGGGGTGAGGGGGCTGCCTGCTGGGGTTCTGTGCCGAAGACGCTTCCTCTTGTGGTAGATACCGAGGGCACCAAGGAAGAGGGGCCCAGTGAGTGCCAGCAGGATGTACTCCAGCCCTGAGCCTGCAAGGAGGAGCAGGAGCATCACTATCAGCCAGCCGGTGCAGTGTCCCCTGTGCCATCACCACCCCGGCACTGCCAAACCCTCACCTTGGCCACCACTGATGCTGCACACGCGCTGGCACTCCTTGCCACACGTCTCCAGGATGCTCCTGCAAGGAGAGGGGAGCCATAAGCACCGTGCAGTGCCACGCATGCCATGGGGAGGGTCAGCACTTACGCGTGGCACGGCCGGCACTCACTGCCCTCGGCGTAGAAGTTGGGTTTGCAGCCACCGCAGACGGTGTCCTGCGCCTCCGAGCCTGGGGAGAGGGGGGCTGTCAGAGGCGGCAGCGCCAACGGGAGCGTGGCGCAGCCTCAGGGCACTCACAGGGCTGCTGGACGAGCCGCCCGGCGCAGGGCTCGCACTGCCGGCACGAGAAGTCGCTGCAGGCGCTGTTGTGGCACTGGCGGAAGTGGCCGGGCTCGCAGCCGCAGACGACGTTGCTGGTGGCCGAGCAGTTGGTCAGCACCGTCTGGAAAGCTGCAGGAAACAGGCAGTGAGCAGCATGGTGAGGCACGGCACAGCCCGGCACAGCACAGCACGGCACAGCCCGGCACGGCACAGCACGGCACAGCACGGCACAGCCCGGCACAGCCCGGCACAGCCCGGCACAGCCCGGCACGGCACAGCACGGCACAGCACAGCCCGGCACAGCACAGCCCGGCACAGCACGGCACAGCACAGCCCGGCACAGCCCGGCACAGCCCGGCACAGCACAGCACGGCACAGCACGGCACAGCCCGGCACAGCCCGGCACAGCACAGCCCGGCACAGCCCGGCACAGCCCGGCACAGCACAGCCCGGCACAGCACAGCACGGCACAGCACAGCCCGGCACAGCACAGCACGGCACAGCACGGCACAGCCCGGCACAGCCCGGCACAGCCCGGCACAGCACAGCCCGGCACAGCCCGGCACAGCCCGGCACAGCACAGCCCGGCACAGCACAGCACGGCACAGCACAGCCCGGCACAGCACAGCACGGCACAGCACGGCACAGCCCGGCACAGCCCGGCACAGCACAGCCCGGCACAGCACAGCCCGGCACAGCACAGCCCGGCACAGCACAGCACGGCACAGCACGGCACAGCCCGGCACAGCCCGGCACAGCACAGCCCGGCACAGCCCGGCACAGCCCGGCACGGCACAGCCCGGCACAGGCTCACTTTGCTGGTCGCACTCGTAGCAGGCGTGGCACTCGGTGAGGGTGTTGGGCTGGGTGAGGAAGGTGCCGGTGGGGCAGGAGGTGCAGACGCGGTCGTTGGCACTGCTGGAGCAGGGGGTGCTCAGGAACATCCCTGTGGGGACAATGAGGTGACAAGGAGCGTGACCCCATAGGGCCACAGTCCCGGTGTGCCCCAGCCGCGCTGTGCTGGCCAGGCAGCTCTCACCTGCAGGACACTGGGTGCAGCACCGGCGAACCTCCTCGACCCAGTTCATGCCGAGGGGGCAGCGCGGTTTGGTGATGTGCCTCTGCAGCCGCACCGGCACCCGCTGCCCCCATGGCAGGGCGCAGTCCCGGCAGCCTGGGGGCTGCGGTTCGCTTGCTGCGAGCCACAGCGCTGCCAGGATCACCTGTGGGCAGGGAGAGGGCCGGGGGTCAGGGAACCGAGGCACCTCGGCTGATGGAGCCGGAGCCGGAGCCGAGCCTGCGCCTGCAGCCCCGTGCCGCGGAGCAGCGGCTGTGGGGCCGGGGATGCCCCGCAGTATCCCCTGCGCTGAGCTTTCCCCGCTGCCTGCTGGCCCCTGCAGGGGCCATCGCATCACCCCTGTGCATGGAGGCTGCCGCCGGGTGCCCCCCGGGTGCTGGGGGCCGGATGCCGAGCACGGAGGTTAACGCTGACGTTCCTGGGGTTTATCTCCCCGCAGAGGAGGCGATTTCCTCCCCCGGAGGAAGCCGTGCCCGGCTCACGCTCATCCCGATGCTATCGCGCCTCGTACGTGCGTCCAAAGTAGGTCACGGCTCCCCCGCTCCGGGGCACCGGCGCTGCAGGCAGGGGAGGGGAGCCCCGGCTGGGGGCCAGGGGGTGTCCGCGCCAGCACCCCCAGTGCTGGGGCCAGGGATTTCCTCGCCGGGGGCTGGATTTCCCAGCGCCGATGGCACCGATTGCGGCAGCTGAATCATCCCAGCAAGAACAGCAGAGGGGCAGGAGGGCTGCTGGCTTACAGTAAATATCTGGCTCCTTCCCCATCGCCTCTGCTGGTTCTCTGGTGAGCTTTGATGGTGCGAGACGTCAAGCAAGAGGAAGATGGGCAGAAAACCAGGGCTGAGCTGCCCCAGGCAGAGGCCACTTTCTCAATTGAGTTGGAGAAGAGCTGCTCCTGTCCTGTGTTTAACTGTTTTTCATGCCCAAATGGTGCCTGGGAGGGGGGTGACACTGCTCTGGCCAAGCTGCCAGCCACCAGAGACTGGTTTGGGTTGAAGGGACCTTAAAGCTCATCCAGTTCCCCACGGGCAGGGACCCCTTCTACTGGAGCAGCTTGCTCCAAGCCCCTGTGTCCAACCTGGCCTTGAGCACTGCCAGGGATGGGGCAGCCACAGCTTCTCTGGGCACCCTGTGCCAGCGCCTCACCCCTTTTCATCCTCCCACCCCTTTTCAGCTTCACACTCCCCTGCCCCAGGGCACCGCAGTGAGGGTGGTGAAGGGGTGCCAGTGCCAGTGCCAGCACCCCCGGTGCTGGGGGCGAGGGGTGGGCTCGGGGATTCCTCGCCGGGGGCAGGATTTCCCAGTGCCGATGGCCCCGATGGCGGCGCCTGAATCATTTTCCACCAGACCCACGGGCAGACTGAACCCGCGCACGCTGCGGCGCTGCCGGCACGTCGAGGCGGCTGCCATGGCCCCGGCTGCCGTCGGCACCTCTGAGTCACCACCGGAGCTACGATGTTCCCATGGGGGCCCTGCCGCGTGCAGATGCTGCCGCATTCCCAGGCACGGGAGCGGGTGCCCCGAGGCAGGAGCCATTGCAGGCACAGGAGCCGCCACCACATCCTGTGCCGCGCAAGCACCATCCCTGCCCATAATGCAGCCCTGGTGCAGCCCCGCTCCTGGTGCCTGTGTGCCAGCACCAGCCCTGGCTGTCGGCACAGGCAGCCCCTATGGCTGTGCCCTCCCTGCAGCCTTGTGTCCAAAGCCACCGCTCCCATGGCTGTGCCTGCCGTCTGCACGGGCAAGGCAGACCCCAGTGCCAGGCCGTGTAACAAGCACTTGGCACACTCAGTGCTGTGCTCATCCAGTACCCACCCCGCTCCACATCCCCCCAACCAGTGCCATGGGCTGGGAATGGCTGCACTCATCCGATACCCACCCTGCTCCACATCCCCCCAACCAGTGCCATGGGCTGGGAATGGCTGCACTCATCTACCCACCCTGCTCCACATCCCCCAACCACCACACATACCCACCCCGCTCCACATCCCCCCAACCAGTGCCATGGGCTGGGAATGGCTGCACTCATCCGATACCCACCCTGCTCCACATCCCCCCAACCAGTGCCATGGGCTGGGCATGGCTGCACTCATCCGATACCCACCCCGCTCCACATCACCCCAACCAGTGCCATGGGCTGGGAATGGCTGCACTCATCCCATACCCACCCTGCTCCACATCCCCCCAACCAGTGCCATGGGCTGGGAATGGCTGCACTCATCCCATACCCACCCTGCTCCACATCCCCCCAACCAGTGCCATGGGCTGGGAATGGCTGCACTCATCCAATACCCACCCCGCTCCACATCCCCCCAACCAGTGCCATGGGCTGGGAATGGCTGCACTCATCCGATACCCACCCTGCTCCACATCCCCCCAACCAGTGCCATGGGCTGGGAATGGCTGCACTCACCCAGCCTGCGCCCGGGCAGCAGTGCTTCATCCTTGCAGGTGACGCGGTTGGGTCATGCCGGGCAGTGAGCGCGGTGCAGGGTTGCAGTGGGGTGTCGGGGCAGCTCAGCGCCCACACAGGGGGCCCCAGCACCCCATGGGCGCTGCCAGCAGCGCGCAGTGAGTGAGCACCAGCCCTCCCCACGCAGGCTTTTAGCGCGGCCGTGCAGGAGGAAATGCTTTTATGGAAACACGTCCAAGGGGTGCAAACCACCTGACGGGAGCGCCGGGGGTGGGAGGGACCTGCCCGCCCCGGCACAGGCCACCGCCTCCCTTCCTGCTGGCACAGACCCAGTGTGGCCGGGGGGGGGGGTGTGTATGGAAGCAGTGGTGACCCCCGCCACAGGGCTCCATCCCCACCATGAGGCTGGAGCTGTGCCGTGTACCCACCATGGTGCTGCAGATGCATGGTGCCACCAGGGCCAAGGGAGAGGCGAGGCGGAGCAAGCGTGCACCAGCTGGGTTTATTGCTTGGCCGGGACACGGAGCGCAGCACGGGACAGCAGCCGGTGCTCCGGCCACCGCCGCGGCTCCCACGCTCGGGTCCCAGGCGCTGCCACCCGCTGCCATCATCCCAGCCCCATAGGGCAAACCTCGCCCCAGTCCACCGCCATCCCCTCCTGCCCCAGCCTCCTCCCTGCGCGCCCTCGGCACCGTGCCCCCGGCGCCACAGCCCTCTCAGCACCTTCCCCACTCACCAGCACCAACGTCATCACCCCCTCCTCGCCCCCCCACGTCTGATGCACCGTGGGGCAGCTGGGCCCCAACCGGCAACCCTCATCCCTGCAGAGGAGGGATTGGCATGAGCCATGTCCCTGCCCCCAGGAGGTGCAGGCAGCCCCGTGCCATGTGCCCAGGCTATGTCCCCGCTGAGGGGACTGATCTGCATCCCCATCCGTGTCCCCACTGGCGCGACCTCCCATCGCCCGGCCTCAGCGTTCCGCTCCGGTTGGAAGCGCAGCCGTACATCCATCCCCACCGCTGCGGCGGCTCTCAGACCTCCCTGCAACACAGGGAGAGACGCCCTCAGCGCCGGCACCCTGGCACCAGGGAGCGACCGAGCATCCTCCGGCAGCCACGTACGAGGCGGTCAGCGTGGAGTTGAGCAGCAGCGTGGTCCGGATGCGGTAGAGCTGCGCCAGCGTCAGCTTGCGGTGCTGTGCTGACTGCGGGTCCGAGAGGGTCCGGCGGGCAGCGGGCAGGGGGCTGTGACCGAGCTCCCTCGGAAGGGACACCGGGCGCTCCGCCGGCTCCTCCGGCTCCGAGAGCTCCGAGGTGGAGCTGCCGCTGCTGCTGGGGGCGGGCGGGGGGCCGGGGGCTTGGTGCGGGGTAGTCCGGGGGGGCCCAGGGCACAGGTCAGAGAGGCTGCGGCTCTGGCTGAGGGGGGCCGGGGGGCCGGGGCACAGGAGCTGGGGCAGGTTGGCCTCCGACTTGGACTTGAGCACCCTGGCGGGGCAGGGCAGGAGCTGCACCGGGGTCTGGCGGCGCAGCCGGGGTGAGGGGGGCCGTGGGGCTGGGGGGGCAGCGTGGGGCTCGCGCCCCTCCTCGGGCTGCTGGCCAAAGTCCCGCAGGGAGGTGGGGGAGAGCGTGCCGTAGGCGCTGTCGATGGAGGACGAGCGGCAGCCGCTGGCTGGGGAGGCCGTGCCATGGGGCAGGGGGACAGGCAGGGCACCCGCAGGCAGCTCCCGGGGGGGGGTCTCGGAGGAGGTGGGGGTCCCGGCGCTGATGGAGGGGCTGGTGCCGATGGAGGAGCCGTCCGAGGCTGAGCTGAAGGGCCCCGTGTCCCAGTCCGGGGAGGAGAGGGCGTCACCGCCGTCCGTGGCCACCACGGCGAGGGTCTCGGTGGAGCCGTCGGATGGGCTGTAAGGGAGAGGGTGGTGAGGAGGGGGCTGTGCTGGGAGGGGGTCGCGGGCTCCTCCTCCTGGCTCCTACCAGCGCTGCGAGTCGGGGCTGGCGCTGCCGCGGCGCAGGATGGTTGGGGAGCTGGCAGCCGAGGCATCGCTGTCCCCATCCTCCTCCTCCTGCTCCTCCAGGCGCCGGCGCTGCCGCAGCCGCTGCAGCAGGTTCTGGGCACAAGGAGGCATCAAGGGAGGCTCAGGGCGGCCGCAGGACCCCCCCCCGCCCAGCACTCTGCGCCCCTCACCTGGGCGTTGCGCACCGCCTCGACCCAGCCGCGGCACAGCGACTGCCCGCTGGCCTGGAATGTGTAGGCAGCCACGGCGCTCCCCAGCTCGTTCAGGTAGATGAGGAGGAAGGAGCCTGTGGGCAAGGGACATCAGCAGTGCCCAGGGACCCCCCCTTGCTGCCCCCGTCACCCCCGGTGCTGCTCACCCGGGTCCCTGAGCTCGCGGCACACCACCTTGTCCACCAGCAAGGGCTGCCGGACCACCTTGGTGCGCTCAGCCTTCTTGAGGGGCTTGGTGATGAGGAAGAGGTCGGTGAAGAGGAAGCAGTAGACGTCCATCTGGGGAGGGGAGAACGGGGCTGTGGGTGCCGGCCGGGGCGAGCGGGCAGGGGCCGGGGCTCCCCGTCCCCCTTGTCCTCACCTTGCTGTCTTTACCTTCCCGCATCCGCAGGCTGCCCTCGAGCAGGAGCTGCCGCGTGTCCTCCGGGGATGTGCCGGGGATGGGGGCCGTCAGGTCCAGCCGCAGGAACTCCTTCAGCAACTGCCGGGATCCCCGGTGTCAGCGGTGGCGTGGGGGAGCATGGCATGGCACAGGGTGGCATGACAAGGGATGGCACAGGGTGGCCCAGCATGGCACGGCATAGGGTTGCATTAGGTTACAGGGGGTGGCTCTGCCGTGCCCAACCTACCTTATCCACCTCATCCGTGCTGCCCTCCACCACCTCATAGGCATCAATGCGGCTGAGGATGGCGGCCAGGCGCTGCCGCTCCTGCCGCTGGCGCATCCGCGAGTTGACGTCGTTGATGAAGCGCTCCACGGAGCCAATCTGTGCCCGGTGGTGGTAGGTTCAAAGGGGGGGGACACCCCACAGCGCACCCCACACCACCCCGTGCCCGCATCCCCTTACCATGGCGGTGATGGCGTCGCGGGCACGTGGGTCATCCGTCTTCTTCAGCACGGACTTGAGCAGCAGCGGGTACTTGGTGAGGCGCTGGTGGGGTTTCACCAGCATGTCGCTCAGCTTCAGGCGGCTGCACTGCTCGTGCTTCTCGGCCCACTGTGGCACGCAGGAGTCAGACCCACACCGCTACCCCACACCGGTACCCCACACCGGCCCCTGCCCGCTCCCCTTACCGTCACATAGGCACGGAAGAGCTCGCTATCCCGCAGCAGTGTCCGCATGTACTCCATGCAGCCCTCCTCCTCCATGCAGTACCGCACATAGGGCTTGAAGAGGGACCCGAACTGGGGGGCACAATGCAGTCACCGCAGGGCACACCATGGCACAGCCCCACCGCGGCACGCTGTCCCCCACTCACCGTCCTGAAGCCGTCGAGGAAGTCGACAGGGTCAAGCAGCGCCCCGGTCCTGCGCGCCTTGGCCAGCACCGGGGCCATGACTCCGCGCCACAGCTCCCGGTGCAGCCGGATGATCTCCCCGATGTTGCTGAAGAGCCGCTCGGCGTCCACCTGCAGTGAGACCGCAGCTGCGTGGCGATGGCACCTCACCCTGCCGTGGCCAACCGCGGTCCCAGCCCTGACCTGGGGGTCCCCATCCCTGCAGCCCCATCACTCACCTCACAGAGCAGCCCCGACTCCTGCAGGTTCAGCAGGCAGCAAAGGAAGAGCTGCAGGGACAGAGAGGGAGCCGCTGGGGTGCAGCCGCAGCCCCAACCCCGGCCCCCCGCCGCGGCACAGCCACCACCATCACTCACATCGGTGATGACTTTGAGCTTGCGGATGTAGGTGGCCTCGGTGTGCAGCAGCTCCCAGATGGCTTCCTGCTGGTGGCACTGCCGGCGCGACAGGGCCTGCGGGGCTGAGCGTCAGCGCCATGTCGGTGGTGGGGCAGCGCCGCCGCGGCCCCCGGTGCCCCCCGGCCCTACCTCTGCCCCGTGGATGATCTGCTGCCAAGTGTCCTCCAGCGCCAGCCCGGCCTCGTCCCCGTCCTCCTCCCACGAGTCGCGGTCGAAGCGGAGCTGCGGCGGCAGCTTGGGCAGCCCGAAGGTGCCGTAGGCGTGCAGCCGGCTGGCCAACTGCTCCAGCTTCTCGCTCTCCTGGCCAAGAGCAGGGGGCACAGCAACCAGTGCCCAAGTGCCACGGACCCCTCACCCTGCGCCCTGGAGGGACCCATCCCAGTGCTCCCTCCCCATGCCCACGTCCCACCTACCCGCCCGAAGGAGCCGGCGCTGGTGCCGGAGCCGAAGAAGCCGCTGAAGCGGCTGGCGGCGCGGTTCTTCCAGGTATCGGTGCCATTGGCGGGCAGGGAGCCACCGGCGTGCGGGGACGGCTCGGGGCTGGGGATGCTGCTGTCCCCCAGGAACTCCGTCATGTTCTTCCTCCGCCGGCCCGGAGCCTGCAGTGGGGACACAGCCGGTGTCCCCGTGGTCAGCGCCCGGCACCGTGCCCAGCGCGATGCCTCGAGCAGGGCTGACCGTGAGCACCCATGGGGCAGGCAGGCACCCGGAGGGCACCCCCGGCCACGGTCCCCTGCCCGCACTGACCTGCCTACCTGCATCCCGGGGGCGCAGGGCCCCGGGTGCTGCCCGGCGGAGCCCAGCTGCTCACGGGCAAGTGGCGCAGGGGCTCAGGGCATCCCAGGGGATGCAGGAGCCCCTCCGAGCCGCCCAGCCCCGCTCGCAGCCCGGACGGTGGAGCCGGACCCGGGCAGGCTCCTCCGAAACAAAAGGAGGTGGGGCCAGTGCCGAAAAACCGATTTCCCTCCTCGGCAGATAAGCTAACCAGAGCCAAACAATTCACCGGCCGACATCAAAGCCCCCGGCTGGCCGCGGGAGCTGGGTCACGGCCAAGCGGCTCCTGCAGCCCCGGGCACCGCTGCACCGGCCTCCTCCTCTATCCCCGGGATGCGGCCGTTGCCATCGCCCCGCACAAAGGGCAGCAAAGTGGGGCTCCCCCCTGCCGCCAAGCCAAGGTCACGGCCGTGCTGCTGCCACCGCCGCCGGCACAGCCCCACGCCCTGCCACGGCCAGCACGGCCCCATCCCTGTCACTCACCGTGCGGCCGTGTCCCCAGAAGCCCCGGCTGCCTCCTGCCCCACGGTCCCCGTGTGGATGCCCCCAGGATGGCTGAGAGCCCTGCACCCATGGTTGGTTGCCCGCTGGCCCCCTCGCCCCACTGGGGCCGTGCTGGTCCCGCAGGCAGGCATTGTAGTGCTGGACACGGGAGGCCACCAGCCCTGGCCACACGGCCAGCGTGCCACGCTCTGGGGCTGCCGGTGTGGGGCCAAGCACCGCGTCCCCACTGCAGCCTGTTCCCACGGGGAGTGGCAGCGAGCCCAGCCCCACGCCTTATCTGGGGCCAGGGTCCATGGGGCAGGACCGAGCTGTGCTCAGCAGCTGCCAGGGGCCATAATGAGAGCAGGACCAGCAGCCAGGGCGAGCCTTGGAACCAGGGCGGCACAGAGTGGTTGGCATCACCAAGGGGCTCCTGCTTGCTCCGGTGCCAGCCTGTACATGGCACAGCCACAGGGCTGGTGCTGCCGGCTGAGCTGCCACACCTAGCACAGAGCACTGCCCGTGCACAGCCACCATGGCACAGCCAGGAGCCAAACTGGCTCCTGGGGGCTCCAGGGAGGTTTTCAGTGACACCACGCAAGGCTATAGGGATGACACCATCCCCATGTAATCCTATGTGTCCTATCTAACCAGCAAGGATGGCTTCATGGGGATCGCCTGCTCCACCACCCCCTCCCCAGGTCCTCCCCTCCGTGGCTGTCACCAGCACTCACCAGGCTGTCAGCGCCCTCCCGTTGTCCTGGCGCCGCGCCGGCAGGGTGCCCGATGGGCAGAGCGGCCAACCTGGCTCCCTGCACTGCCTGCTCCACCTTCAGCTCATCCCCGGGCTTGGCTGCGGGAGCAGGGGGTGGTCAGAGCCCCGCGGCACAGCCGAGCCCCCCGCCGGGCCCCGGCGCACCTCTCACGCGCAGGTAGTGCCCCCCGAAGCGGAACGCCTCGAACTGGAGCGAGAGCGGCGTCTGCGACTGCTCCAGGTACACGTCCACCCTGCCCGGCTCGATCGCCTTCCTCTCCAAGACCGGCAGCAGCACCTCCCTGCAGGGACATGAGCCCCGTGTCCATCTCTCCCCCCGCCGCTCCCCGCATCCCCATCCCCAGCGCGCTCACCCCAGGGATTTCTTCTTCGAGGCCGGCACGATCTCTGCCTCGACGTTGATGCTGAGGTCAAACTTGAGGGTGAAGCACTCCTTGCTGGGGTCCTAGGGGAGGCAGCATCACTCACCCATGCGGCCCCCCTGCCCGCTGAGCACCCCAGGGAGAGGGGCCGGTGCCTTACATCCGTGTGCCGGCGCCGAGCCTTCTTCTTGGGCAGCTTCAGCGCCGAGCTCCTCCGCTCCCTGTGAGCACAGGGCACTCAGGGTGACAGGGACAGCGTGGGTTGGGGACACGGAGGGGACACGCAGGGCCGGGGGCTCACCCTCTGCTATCGGCCGGTCCCTCCTCCTCCTCCTCCACATCAGAAGCAGGGCTGGTGCGTGGTGGGCATGAGCGTGTTGACATGTTGCGGGCCAGGATGGAGCCTGCAAACGGGCATTGGGGTGGGCTGTGTCAGCACCGCAGCCCTGTGCTGGCCCCGGCTGCTTCCCACTCGGGTCCCTGCACCGCGCCGGCCCCAAGCGCATCCCGCTGGGATGAGGAGCCGGTACCCAGCTCACCTGGCGGGGGCAGGTCAAAGCGGATGTGCCCATCGCAGTGCATGGCGCCATGCAGGCGGCTGTCACAGAGCTCACACAGGCTGAGGGGGCCGCTGCAGCTCAGCCGCCGGCACTCCGCATGGTGACACACCTGCGGGTACACCATGAGCAGCGGGGACCCCCTTCCCACCCCACTGCTGCTGGCTCAGGGGCAACACCGAGCCCAGAGCGGGCCCCGTGAGTAGGAAACGAGAGGCTCTGCCCCACGGAGCGCCCTCCCTGCGCCACCGCACTGCGCAGGGCGCTGGGGAAGGCGGCTCATGCCCAAGCACGGAGGTGACAACCGGGGCACAGGCACCTGCGCCTGTGGCTCCCGCACCTCCCGGTGCCCGCAGCCGCCCCTCGGCGCTGACGGGAGCCGCGTCCCCGCGGCAGGACGGAGGAAGCGGGTGTCTGCAGCAGAACAATGCTCGAGCCCGGCGCGTTTCCTCCCATTGTGTGCCGGCCACGGCCCCGCCGGGCATTCACAGCGGGTTATTTTTAACCCCCCGGCAGGGCCCCCAGCGCCGTGACCCCCGCACAGCGCCCGCCCCAACGGGGGCTCCAGAGCCGCGCTCCAGTCCCTGCGGTGCCAGCGGCCTCTGCAGCACCGCCCGCGGGGTGCGGTGTCACTGGGGGACCCCCATCGCTGCGCAGGGAGGAGCCAGCCCTGCCCCGGCTGCGCGGAGGAAGCGCCAGGAGCTGCGGCCACCCCCGCTTCCTGCCCCCCCTTCCCCGGGCGCTGCTGAGGTCAGAGCTGAAGCGCTCCCCGAGGGGCCACCAGCCCCTCCAGTGCACCCAGCACCAACAGCACCCAGCACCGTCCTACCATGGGCCACAAGGCAGCTCCCCCCATCAGCCCTGCCCATGATGCCCCGTGCTCCTGGCCCCAGCAATACTTCTCTCCCCCCATGTGCCCCAGGCCATCCCCATCGTGGCCGTTGTGGCACCTGCAAAACGGAGAGCGTGGCCATGGGCTCCAGGCAGCGACCACTTCCTTGGTGGGCACCCCCAGGACCTTCAGCAGCTGCCCCATAGTGAAGGGGATGCGATGCAGGACAAGCCCCCAGCCCAGCCAGGACCCCTCACCCCACGCTACCTGCTGGTCACCATCAGGAGGTCTCTGATATCAGTGCTGGGGTGTTCCTGGTGTGCCCCAAGGCAGCCACAGCCCCGTGCCACGTGTGCCCTATGGCACCGGCTCTGCCACCCCAGCCGTGCAAACAAAGCGCCGCTGCACACCTCCAGCACAGCTGGGCTGCTGCTGTGCCAGAAAGACACCGCCCGCGGCACAGGAACACTGGGACTCAGTGGGAGCCGCATCCAGCCTGGCCCTGCATCCAGCCAGCCCAGGGGGGAGAGAAGGGACCCTAAATCCGCTCTGGCATCACGTTAGCGAGGGCTGGAACAGACGGGCTGGAGAGGATTAGCCCCAATCACAGCAGCCACAGGAAACAGGGCACAGCCACCCGCTGCCCCTCTGCATCCATTCACACCAACACCATCGGCACTGCTCGGCGCTGCCCAGCAGCCCACGGCACCCACCTTGGCCGCCCTCCTCTCGCCGGAGCAGTCGGGGTTCTGGCAGCGCAGCACTGGTTCCTCCGGTGGGCACGGCTCGGCTGCGGGAGAGAGCAGGGGTCAGCGCCAGGGTGAGCCCCTGCAGCCCCACGCCCGACCCTGCCCATGGAAAAGCAAAGCACATGGGCTTAAACAAGGCTGAAAGGGAGGAACCCCCTGCCCAGGAGCCAGCGCTGCATCCCCGCACCGTGCATCCCGTGGCATCAGGACCCGGCACCCCCTGCCCGGCACCCCGAGTCGCAGGATCAGGACTCGGACCTGCCCCAGTTCCCCTGAGGCTGGCACAGACCGGGCTGCAGCAGCAACACTAAGTCAGCCACTTGCCAGCCCCCAAGGGGGCTTTAGGAGCCACTTTAAGCTTTGACAGTTAAATCGGCCTTAGGGACAAATCCTATTTTGAAGGCTTTTGCTATGTGTCGCGCCTAATCGTTTAAAAATAACAGGCTCCAGGGTGCCTGCAGCAAGGGAAGAGCAAGAACAGCCCCGATGGGAGCCAATACAGGGGCCGGGCTGCACGGCCAGCACAGGGGCTTCCCCCACCGCGCTGCTCCCCTCTCCCGCATCCCTTCTGCCAACACCAACACAGGCGGGACCGTGGCCAAGGCTGGGGCTGGACGCAGCCTGCGGGAAAACCTCCCTTTGGGGCAGTGCTGCTCCTGCCCGGAGCGGGGCTCACAGCGCGGACACCCCGGAGCGGGGCCGGCAGCCCCAGCCCGCGGCCAGGATGCGGTGCGGCGCAGGCACTGCGGGATGAGGGCGCAGGAGCATGGGGCAGGGGGAGCCGCTGCGGCTGCCCCCGCGGCGGGAGCACAATGAGGGCTCTGTGGCCGCGGCCGCCCCGCAGCGCCGCCGGCCCCCGCCGCCGTTTCACTTGACCTATCGGGAATAATAACGGGATAAAGCGAACTCCTCCGTGCACCGGGGGGAAGCGTTCCCGACTCGCCAGAAAACCGAGGCCAGGCAGAGCTGGCGGCAGTGCCAGGGGACAGCCCCACGCCGCAGCCACCGGCACGGCCAGAGACAAGGGGCTCTTCCCCAGTGGCTTGGAGCGGGAGGGGCTCTGGGTCCCCACCACGCACTGGATCCTTCCCCCATCAGCTCCTCTATGAGACAGCCACCTCCTCCTCCTCCTCCTCCTCCTCCTGCCAGCTCTGTTCTCGCACCCGGCTCTCCTGGTGATGGCAAATGAGTTTGGAACTGAACCACCCCTGCACCAACTCACTGTTTCAGGTGCCTGCCTTGGCTGGGAGGGAGCAACGCCAGTGGTAGGAGGCTCCCTGCTGCACCTGCAGCATCCTCACAGCATTCCCTACAGCAACCCCACCGCATCATCCTCGCAGCATTCCCTACAGGAACCCCACCGCATCATCCTCACAGCATTCCCTACAGGAACCCCACCGCATCATCCTCACAGCATTCCCTACAGCAACCCCACCGCATCATCCTCGCAGCATTCCCTACAGGAACCCCACCGCATCATCCTCATAGCATTCCCTACAGGAACCCCACCGCATCATCCTCACAGCATTCCCTACAGCAACCCCACCGCATCATCCTCACAGCATTCCCTACAGCAACCCCACCGCATCATCCTCAGAGCATTCCCTACAGCAACCCCACCGCATCATCCTCACAGCATTCCCTACAGGAACCCCACCGCATCATCCTCACAGCATTCCCTACAGGAACCCCACCACATCATCCTTGCAGCATTCCCTACAGGAACCCCACCGCATCATCCTCACAGCATTCCCTACAGGAACCCCACCGCATTCCTGCTCCAGCTCCAGCTTCTCCTGGCCCCTCCCGTTGATGTCAGGAGCATTTAGGCCAAGCACTGCTGCCCGCACCCCACGGGTCCCCAGACACCTACCCCCGAGCTCCTCGCTGATGTCCAGGCTGGAGCTCCAGGAGAAGCGCTCCACTGCCCCATACCCCAGCCCCGCCAGCCCGGGGGGCAGCGCCTCCAGCTCGTAGGCACCGCGCTTCTTCCAGTACAGGAACATCCCGGGCTGGCAGCCGGGGGAGCCCCCCGGAGCCGCGCCCGCCCCGCCGGGGCCACCGCTGGCACTAACGGGGGGAGCCCGGCTCCGGCTTTAAGAGCGGATCGCGGGGTCCGGACAAGCGCCGCATTGAGGCCGGCGGCCGGGAGGCGCGGGGCGGCGGAGGGTGCTGCTGGAGGCTGCCCAGCGCCCGCGCGGGGGGCACACAAAGGGCCTTTCTTCAGCCTCCTACAGACATTGCACGAATTTCACTTTCGGCCGCCTGTGAAAGGCATCGGGCGCGGGGACAAGACGTGCTTGTGAGGAGAAGAATATGCACCGAGAGGGGGCTGTGCAGCGGCTCCGTCGCCCCATGGCTTTGGGGGGGGAGGCAGGAATGTGCCGCCCTGAGGCCTGGATGCACCCCCGCAGCCGTGGGCATGGGAGAGGGTCCCCTCTGCTGAAGCCAAGCAAACCTGAAAGCACCGGAATGGGCTCAAAAACCCCATAAAGGACCAACCATTGCTCTGCCCCACACAGAACTCCCTAAACATGGAAAACCAAAACCATCAGGCAGAGACCATCCCAGCCCCAAGCCACTAGCATTGACAGCGGCTTCTTGGATGCTCTAAGTGCCCTAACACTGAGTGGGATGCTGCAGCTCCAAAGCTCCTGGACATCCCATCCCGTTGGCCCTCTCCCCCTCAGGGCAGAGCCATGGTGAGCGCCAGCAGCCGTTGTGGTCCCGTCCCTGTATCTGGGAGCCACCAGTGCGCTTCCTTCCCTGGAAAGGTCCAGAACTGGACCCTGGAGGCTTGGCACAAGCACATGGGGGTTCCTCACTTGCCCCTCAGCTCCAAGGGGCAGTGCAGGGTCCATCACCCTCACAGGAGCCCTGCAGGGTTTCACCATCACCTCTCGCCCACCTCACCTCTCCTGGTGCCTTTTCCAGCCGCGGCTCCAGCTCCCGCCTCGCTGGGATCCTCCTGCACAGCGGCCCCTGTATTTGTTTAGGCGCTGGTCCGGTTGCCAGCCAAGTCCTTCCTTCACCGCCAGACCCAGCCAGATGGGGATAATTAGGCCTAGATTAAGTTAAAGCTTTAACTCTTTGAAAGGCAGAGCCCGGGCAGCTCCATCTCCTCCCCGCTGGTCACCCCCTTCATTTGTCCATTTACAGGTACCAGGAGCTCTATGGAATGCCCTCAAAACCCAGATAAAGGCATTTTGGGGGATCACTCACACCCGTAGCAGCTGCTAGCAGCCAATACTCAGCACAAGCACAGTGCATCCCTTCCTCCTCCAGCCTCAGGTCGCTCAGGAGCACATCACTGCCCAACACTGGAAAAGAGTAAAATGGAGAGTAAAACGAATGAATGAAACTGGAGAGTTTCAGTGGGGACAGCACGGGTCAAGAGTCAGGGGGAACCAGCTCCTCCTGCTCCTTTCAGCCTCTTCCCATAGGCACAACCCATTTGGGCAGAGCTGGGCAACGCACCCGAGCTCTCCCCAGAGCTGAGCTGAAAGTGCAGGAGCAGGGCTGGCAGCCAGGGCTGCTGCGAGGCAGAATGAAGCAGGGCCATGGGCAGAGCCCGGTGGGAAGCAGCCGCCTGGCTCCAGTGGCTCCACTTAGGGAGAGAGGGGTTTGTGGTTCACTCCTTCCTTCCCAAGCACCCAGCGGTGCTGCAGGGACAGGGTTAGGGTTAGGGTTAGAGCACAAGCAATGCCCAAACCACACGCACAGAGCCTGGGGTCACACTCCTGTCCCCATGGACTGCTCCTGCCAGCAGAGCTGAAGGAGGCCGGGCTGCAGCAGGAATTCCAACCAGAGCCGTGTTTAAATAGATATTTATTACAAAACACTGACATACAAATAGCAAATATAAAACAGTATCAAAACCAGCCGTGCTGTGCATCCACAGCAAGAGCTCGGTGGCACCAGCGCTCGTGTGACTGCTCCAGGCTCCACACAGAGCACAGTGAATCCCGCAGGCTGAGCCCATGGGGCTCTAGGCATAATCACACTCGAACGCGTACTCCCTCCTCTTGAAATGCTTCTTCTTTTTCAGCTTTCCAGAGCCGAGGATGCTGTAGTTATAATCGGATGTGACATAGGGGATCTCTCCCTCAACTCCTTGCTGGGAAGAGCGGAAAACAAAACCAGAAACAATTTAAGAACTCAAGTCTTTAACAGGGTACTCGTATCTTAACGTTCTCGTTCTGGAATGGGACACACTGTCCTCTGTATAGACCGACAGAGCTGGCTGGTGGAAAGCAACAAGCTGTCACCAAATAAACCCTGCTCTGGTATCTGAAACATGAGAGGAACGCTCTCCTCTCCCTTGTTTCTATGCCTTAAGGACAGTTTCCTATAGAGATAACCATCTGCTGATGCCCAGACATGTCAGGAAACCTGCCAGCCAGCGCTCAGCCACTGCTCCCTCTTCCCATGCAGCCCCTACCTGGCCCACAAGAATGCAGTTGGGAATGGCGATACTGCCGAGGAGCAGACAGTTCACCAGTCTCAGGCTCTCCGGAGGCACCGGCGTCAGGATGTGGTACAGCTTCTTCTCCATGTCCACCCCTCGGACAATCCCTGAGGAAAACCCATGCATTATTCTCTTACCTCATCCCTCTTGCTCAGTTGCTTGTCAAAACACAGGCAGCTCCATCACCCCAACCTAGCTGTCACAACATGCCCCAGCTTTGGCTTCATTTTCTTCCTAGCAGCTGGTGCACTGCTGGGCTTTGGTTTTAGCTGAGAACACACTTCTGTGTGTTGCTCAGTAGCACTTACCCTGATAAGGAACGTCTGGGAGTCACACAGAAGGGACTGATCACTGCTTGGGTCAGGCTGGGTATCACTCAGCAGGTGCTCACTTGTGTTCATTGGTTTTCCTTTTCCCTTTTGATTTTACACTCTCTCATTTCCCTCATCAGCATTATTGTTAGTATTACACCGTACTTTAGTTACTGTTCTTATCTCAACCCATGGCTCCTACATCCTCTCACTCCTCCCCATCCCACCTGCGTGCTGCTGAGCTCCTGGCTGGGTCTCACTCACACCACCACGACAGGCACGCACAGAGCCCAGGGTTTCCCATGCTGGCTCACCGAAGCCAAGGCAGTCACAGACCGGTGTCTGTGTCAGCAGCACTGGCCCATCAGTTTGGCATCTGATCTCATCTGGTATCCTGCAGAGCCCAGCCCAGCTGGCGTTCACAGCATACATGATGTTGGTAGGAGCAACGTCGGTGTGAATAACCCTGAGGGCAACGGCACTGAAAGGTACCTGAGTGGGTTAAAAAGAAGGAAAACCCAGTCGTTGTCTCAATGGCTCAGCATCAATTTAACTGAGTGCCGAGATAAGGCAGTGCCAAGCACAGGAACCCTGGGAGCTCCCAGGCCTCTCCTCCAGGAGTTCCCTCTGTGGCAACCACCACCAATGGAGCACACAGAAGACACGTGCAGCAGATAGCCCAAGCACCACCCCAAGCCCTCCAGAGCCACCCATGTACCTGATAGGGCACGAGGCTGTGCAGTGGGAGCACAGCGCCCACGTCCGGGGCCTGCAGCTGGCCCAGGTAGCCCAGCATGGCCATGTCCCGCAGGATGCCGCTGTGCACTCGCCTGGAAAAGCACCACAGCGCGTCAGCGCAAGGCAGCTTCACAGCACAGCTCCCAGTGCATCCCCCGGGGCAGCCCTGCACCACTAGCTGCTGTTTCACACCGGTTCAGCTCTCAAAGCTTCCACTGCTGAAGCGAACACAGAGCTATGCTTTCATTACCTCTAGGAAATCACAGGGTTCAGGGCATTGTTGCAGCTTTAAGGAGGCATTAATTAGCAGAGGAGGTGGTTTGTTTTCCTTTAAACAGAGTCTGTTATTAGGTAATGGCTTCCTTTGCCAGCACTGATGCCCACACACCTTTTAGTCAGTCAGCTGGGCACCCAGCAATGCCTTTGTTCTCTTAAGAGAGCTCATTAGAGAAGGCAGAGTGAAAAAGGCACTTGAAATGGGCAACAGAGAGCCGAGGTTCAGGAAGGGGAACATTTCAGAGCTGTTCAAAGCATCAGAGAAATCACAAAATCAGGTGATCATCACGTAGGTGTGTAAAAATGGCTAAGGAGCCTCCCAGTTAGAAATGGAAACGCCATCATATTCAATGATTCCAAGTGGAAACACCAAACACAACCCCCCAGTGAGCAAACCAGCGAGCTCTGACCAACCTCACGGACCAGAGCCCTTCGGGTTTTGTTAAGCCCAATGCCCACCACCCCCCAGCACCAAACTTTCTACTTACGCTTCACCTGCAACCCCTGCTCGAGGGAATTCCGGATGGACGTACAGCAGCTTGTACTCGGGAGCCGAGGCGTCTCCCTCCCCTCCATCCGCAGCCAGCTGCTTGCACTTGGCCTGCTGCTTGCCCTTGGTGTAGAGGCCAGGAGTGAGGTGAACGTACTCGGGGGTGAGCGGAGCCATGGCCTTCCAGTCGTACACATCCATCTGCACAATGTGACTGGGTGACGCCAGCCGGATGACATCAATCAGAAGCAGCAACCCCTCACCTTTAGGGAGCAGAGAAAACACGATTGCTGCTGCCACACAAACAGCTCCCAGCACTGCTATGGAAGAGCAGCACTAGCTCCAAGGGGGAAGCTGTACTTCCTAGTTCCACACTCTACAGAAAGCATGCTAACGTAGCACTGTGACCATCACCTGCCTCTGCACCACCTCTTGTGAGCACATTTATCCTGGTTACCTTTCACCCAGCCCATGGTGTTGATGACTAAAGGCACTTCCTTCTTGTAGGAGCTGAACACGTACTTCACCACGTCGAGGTACCTCTCTGTGTCCTGCTCGCAACTGGTCTGCCCATAATACACCATCTTGCGTGGGGTCTGTTGGTGGGTGAATGGTGGACCTGGAAAGGCAAGCAGCAAACCCCTAGTAGTTCCCACAGGTCAAATCAGAAACTCCCACCCCTGCAGCACCTACAGAATCCCTTCCAAAACAAATCCATTCTCTTTTCACATGCAAACAGCCCTGCTTGTGCAGCTTCTTGATAGCTGACAAACCATACATCCTGGTCACATTTGTGACCCAAATGCACCAGACCACAACCACCAGTGATTCCTCTGGCCCTAGGGGATGTTTCC